CCTGGTTAGGTTTAGGCTTATTCATTCATCCCATTCATTCTTTAGTCTTTATGAAATCTGCTCTGAAATGCACGAAATACACATTGCTTTTAAAAAGGGAGGGGTGCGGCAGTCGACAGGAATGAAGGGGAAGGATTTCTGGATTTGGTGATGTTGTAGAAAAGAGGGACACGCTCTGAGAGGTGTAAGCCCGTCTTCTGATCTCCTATAATTGAAGGTTGAAAAGACGTGCAAACGAGTTAAAATGAAACGAGGAAGGAGTTATCTCGACCTCGTGAGTATATTGGTTTCGTAAATGTCGTGATTATATATATCTATCAAGTTCAGCATCGAGATTATTAGGAGAATAGTAATTGTAAGGGTCGTGCTAGTTGTCTGTTTCAAGCAGTAGTGACTAGTTTCATTTCACTCGCAACATTCCCTGTTGGAACGTTGACCCGCTAAGTTAAAACTTGCGAAATATTGAATTTTTTCCCACGCTCGTGAAGTTGTAGTCTTAAATTATCGTTTCCATTATTTATCATTCCACATTATTTATCTGCACAAGTTTGAAAATGATGCAAGGTATGTACTGCTCATATTTTGCCTTTACTACCAGTACACCTTCATTTTACATTACAAGTAATGTATGAAGTTGTTGGTATCGTATTCTTTCCAGAGGTACAAGTTCATCCGAGGTTTGATTGAGTATGAGGGATACCAGAGGAACTGTGTTTATTTGAAATCAGCAGCAGAATGGACATCCAAAGCCATCATTTCCCTGGAGCTGTCCCAGGAACCTGTGAAATCTGTCAACCAGGCAGCCAAATTAGAGGGGGTGAGCCATAGGATACTTTGTTTTGTTATTTTAAATTGTGCTATAAAGGCTATAAAATGAGGAGTACTAAACCATTTAAATAGGTTATGAAAATTCTTGAAAGTTTGAATACAATACTTATTTTCATATTGTATAACTTAATTCTACATATTACATTGGACAGTAAGATCTGTGAGTATTTCAAGAGATATTTTAGCTGCTCATGCAACACATTATTAATGTTTGGATTGACATACATGTAACTGAAATATATCCTTTAAATATGGTTTTGCATTTGTTTTTGTAAATTCATTGTCCTGATCATAACATTTATTTGGTGTGTGTCTTCAGATAGGGAAAGAATTGTCGGAAAAGTTGAAGGAGATGACGGGATTCAAACACCTAAGCAATAAAGCGCCACCTGCTGGCATGTTTGTGAGTTCAGCTCCTGCATTCCTTGTGGCCATGCTGAATCTCACTGAAGTACAATCTCTTCAAGATAACAGGTAAAATTAGACATGAATGTTACAATAGGGCATATTTTTCAGTTTGGTTATGTACTAGTACTTTATACATGGTAGAATGACTGCTGATAAACCAATTGTTAGATATTATTATTTGTGTCAAAATTAATTGTCTGCTGTACAGTGTCATCAGTTAACTCTTTTATTTGAGCCCCCCCCCCCCATGCGTCATGGTTGCTCTAAAAGAAAATTACATTTAGAGATTTTTTTCTTTTATTTATTAATTTACTTTAAATTGATTATTTTAGTCCAAAGGAAAACATTTTGATACCAGAGGCTATGCTTATAGAAGAAGCTGCAAAGTTGTGTGAGGAAAAGTTTAACCACATACCTAAAGGTAATGTTGAATTAGTTGTGTGGTAAACCCTCCTAGTCTCACACAAGTACATATTATTCTTTTTGTCCAAATAAAAAAAAACAGTTGATTTCAGTATCATTATACACCTAATAATCTAGTTGAATATGTTGCTCCATTAAAAATGTGGAAATTCAATATCAACTCTATTTAGTGTTTGCTCTCAGATATTGCTTTATCATTTTGCTTGAAATGTTTGTCATGTATGTATGTATGTTTCTAGCATTCTGCATGGCAGCTTGGAGGTTGAACGTCCTGTGTAACAGAGACTTGATCAAGAAGAGGTCTTTGGCCCAAACACCAGTCTATCAACTGCTGCCACTTGGGGAAGAAGAGGCTACCAGACTGAGGGGTGAATATCAACAGTTTAAACACAAATTCAAGTCCTTTCCTTTTATGGTATTCTCAAAGAGAAATGTAATTGTTTCAGTCCAAGAATTAATGCAAAGTTTGATATTTCAATTAAAGATTTCATTTGAGAGCAGACCAAGATACATGGTCAAAACACTTAACAGTCTTGCTTTACATTGCAACAAATTTGTTTAACTTTGGAAGATGTTCTATGAAAAAGCCATCTTTGTTAACAGGTTTATATTGGTTTATTTGCAGCAACATTCCAGCCTAGCTCCACACAAAAAACAGGGAGCAATATGGCGGAGAAAGAGGAGGATCAGCAGTGTGGAACTCTTTACACTAATGATGACGGCTCTGATGGGTGTGTAGAACAACCTTGTTTCGCAATTTCTGATTTAGACATATATTATATGGCTGGAATTGAGCGTAAACTTTTCACGAAATAACAGATGTCACAGGCCCGTATCCATCCAGGAAATTCAAAAGGGGGGTTCTTTTTCTGAAAAAGTGGACCTTTTATAATGAAACTTATGTGAACCTCGATGAAATTTTACCCAAAATGGACCTTTTCCGACAAAAGGGGGGGTTCTTTTGAACCCCCCGAACCCCCCCTGGCTACGGGCCTGGTCATCTACATGCACATGCATGCATGTAATTTTTGTTTTAGATATGTTCAAAATACATAATGTTTAAGTTTTATCCTTATTTTCGGTTTGTCTTGGCGAAATTTCATAACCAAATAAACTCCCTGTGCAAAGTGTAATACGACTTCTCAGTTATTGCTTTCAAGCCTTTTTTTAGGGTATTTGGTGGTGGATTATTGATCTCATCTGTTCAAGTGTTTTATAACATTGTAGCCTGGTCATTTTGGTGGACACACAGGAGTTTGGAGGTGACCACAGAGGACTTGGACAGGTTAGTCTTAGAGTGGGCTCTCTTGATTAGGCAAAAAAACTATAATCTGGAAATTTTTCGATCTTAGAATTCTGAGTATTAGTTATTTTCTTTTACATCTGGGTATATTCCCGAAAATGAAGATATTAGTATTTGTTAAAGAAAAAGGCAAGAATGTAACAGGAATAAACTTTTTGCTTCTTGTCGAAGTTATATTGATATGTTTGAAGAGAATTGTTTTTATTTATCTGCTTTATTTCAGTTAATAGACCTAATCAAGCAAACAGGACTGAGGTATCGGACCAAAAAGTTGGCGTGTGGAGATTATTCCTGGTTACTGAGATGTGGGGGTGAGGAGAGAGTGATGCCACTACTGGTAGAGAGGAAGAGAGCAGGTAAATTAATTTGTTTGGTGACCGAGCACACGGGCTCAGTGTCAAAAATGTCCTCATGGATGATAGTGATTTGCATTTTGATATTATGCTTTTTTTCCAGTAGGCCTACTTTTGTTATTTTAACAGCAGAAGTTGATGTTTGGCGTAATTTGATTTTAAGCATTACAGATTGTTTTCAAACTTAAATCTGTGCCTTGGTGCAAAATTCTTCTCCATTTAGTTAATAAATACCTGAATATCAAATATGTTTTGTTCACAACATTCCTAAGGGTTGGGAGTTAGTAAATGTTCTGTGTCTGTTATGTAATACTTTTTGTCTGGTCATTAGCACATGTTGACCACATAAAAACATTCAAAGTTTTAAGGTGTGAACTGATCCCACAGCCTGTCATGACCGAGGCGAGCACTCTTCCAGTAAGGACTTAATTCAGTCAAATGGCATAGGCACAACTATTATCATATTCTTTAACTATTCTTTTGCTACAGAGTCCTAAAATTTGATTACAGACAAGGCATTGGCCATGTAACCGTCCAGCTGCCTCTTAGATACCCTATTTCAATTTTTTTATCACAAGGAACCTAGACTGCCTGTCTGGGTAAGAAATTGAATTTGGATTCCAGATTTCAAAACCCTTGCTGAACCCCTGACTACAGTACCCAGAAGTACTTAATGGAAAATTCCTGGAAATTGAGGGTATATAAAATTTTATTCTCTAGCTACTTGTGCCTTTTTTTAGATGACCTGGCAAAAAGCCTAGTAGATGGCAGGTATGGGAAGCAGCGCCGGGATATGGTGAAATGGAAGGCAGCGTTCACGTCCCAAGGTGTCCCTGCTGTGCTGAAGTACATCTTGGAGTCCAGGCCAGAGCAGTTTGTGGTGCAGTGTGCTGATGGGTGTGGAGGAGTGGGCAAGTGTGGCTACCCAAGTGCTTTACAGTTAAATGTTGGTACCTTTTTTTTCAGTTGGAGCCATTTGCTGAATATTGAGTTCACTGAATTGTGCTTTCTAGTCATTTCTTGGAATAGCTTATTTGAACACTTTCTCATTAACAACCAGCTGTACTATATGTATTATTTGAGAAAACGAAAGATTTGAGATTTTAAGAGAAAAGCATGCCTGAGTAAGATATTATTTTTATCAAACAAGTATAAAAACACTACAAATTCTTGTCTGAAAGTACTCTTTCTTATAGCTTTTGACTTTCTAAGTTGATATTTTTTGCCTTCTCCAGTTATGTTTTAATAGGGGTAATATATTTGCAACTGGGGTGTTTTTTACATATGCTTACACTTATTCTTTCTAGAAAGCTATTGAAGATCTGGAAAATTGCCAAGATTTTGAAGTTTTGAAGACGGACAACATTGGTCACACTGTGGAAATGCTGGCAATAATAACTGCAGAACTGCAGCAGAGGTGAATGCTATTTTTAGGGTTTTTTAAATTCAAATTTATCTTGTTTTTTGGCTATGAAACTGTTAAAAATATTCTCAAGTTTGAATGGAAAGTGATGCTAACAGTCTGATAAAATTTCATTCTAATCTGTAGCGAATAAATTAAATGATATGATAACAATTTCAGTAGTTTTAGTTGAAAAAAAAAAGGAGTTTTGGTATGAAATTATGGTTTAAAGTAAGAACAATATTTATTTATGTAGACAGTACATTGTTTTATATAAGACATAGGATCATTAGTATCATCAAGGGAAAGTGTTAAAAAATTTTCAGGAAAATTAAACATTAAATAGGGATGAGATTTTCCCGATTATTGGCAGATTTCTGACTCTTTGGGAGTCAAAAATGTCATTGACTTAAGCAGACCCTGGACCCAACACCATACTTTCCGATTTTTTCACTAAATGGCAGTCTCTTCCCTGTTTTAGGTTATACTTATTATTTGCCAGAAAGATCACTGAGCAATGAATTTTGTTTTTTAATTCACAGGTCGGACTGTGGTGAGTTTGATGACCTAATAATGAAGGACATTAACCCAGACCAATTCATGTCCACTCGAATAGAGTCGGCTGCAACGGGTTCAGAAGGCTCAGAAAGGGGGAATACCTCAGCAAAGGCCAACAACTTCAAGAAAAGGCACAAAACCTCTGCTACTGTTACGTCTGAAGAGCCCAGCATGTCACATTGGGCAGATGAGTTACTGGTTGACGCGAGTGTGGACCAGCACAAAACTAGAGATTCAGTGAAACACACTGAAAGCAATGATGATGATGATGAAAATAGTATTTTCAGAAAGAGCCAGTTGTTATCAGGGGACTATGAAAAATTGCCCAATGTCACAGAGAAGCAAACTATGAAGGTGAGACCACAACAGAGCAACAACAGCAGAAGCCAACAAGAGAAAAATAACAATTACCTTACTGTTGAAGAAGATGAAGCCCCCATACAACTTGCCCAATATCACTCTACACCAGGGACATCGGTCAACGTTCCTCTGGTCAAGAAACCAAAACCAGTCCCCACAATTCACATCCAGGAGGGAGTGCTGCCGAAAATCATAGGTAGATACCAACCCGAAAGTGACACTGCCCAGCCAACAACCACCATCAAGGCAGGGCCAAGTATGCAAGGTGCTTTTAAGACTGGTGAGAACTATAACAAAACTCCATGGGTAAGACCACCAGTTTCATCATCTTTGGGTTCTGCTAGCGCAGTGCCCAAGGTATTAGGCAATCCACATAAAGCAATCACTGCAGGCAGTGAGAGTGTCACTGCTGACGATGACAATTTTGCTGCTAGTAGTGTGTCAGTGACTGGTAAACAACATAAACCTGCAACGACAATAACAAGGAAGGCCTTTTCTGACACCTCTAACATCACAGAGCAGAAAGCAACTTCACCAGGAGTCCCGAGGAGAGTGCCAAAGCTTAAAATGAGTTATCACCTCAACTCCCCAGAAGTCACACCATCCTCAACAGCCAGCACTCCATCATCAAGTATAGGTGCTAGGATATATTTGATGAAGACCCCACCAGGAAAGGGAGCCAGTTCTTCCCCAAAGTCACCTCCTTCAACTGGTGCTCCAGAAGGCGGCAAGGGGCAGGTCGCTGTCAGAAGAACTGTTTTTAGCGAGTTGTCTGATGATGACAGCAATCAAGGTCTGCCAGACCTCACCACCTATTCTACCAGCAAAGGTCCACGTGTTAAGAAAACAAAGATAGAAACGGCCTCTAGTGTACTCACAGATTTTCATTCGGTGAAATATGGTTCAAATGCCTCTTCCGATAAAAGTTGCAGTATGACCGCACAATGTAATAATGAAAGACTTCAGGTGGAATTTGACAACAAAGTCCAAACATTGTTGGGCATTCTGCCTCATGTCAGCCAGGAGAGAGCCATCTCCGCTCTGCTGGACTGTAACATTGATGTGGAGAGGTGTGTGTCAGTTCTGTTGGATGAGGAGGAAGCTGGGGGTCCAAGCAGTGTGGTGGACTTGACATAGATGTCACAGTAATCTTAAAAAGATTTTTTGTAGATGGACATGGTGCACACATACGTGATAAGCACAGCCTTTTTTTAAGAGTTACAAGAAAATCAAACTTTTGTATATTCTGTTAAGTTTGAATGTCTTAAGTCCCTTAAGCGCTTTTTTTTTTTAATTCTCAGAGTTATTTGAGGATTATTTGTTTTACTTTTAAATCATCTAAGAAAGCCCAGAACAAGTAAATGCCGCTTTAATGTAGAATATTTTTGTTTCTTACAGTTACCTTGTTTCTTATGTAAGACATTCTTTATTTGGAAAAAGTGAAGTGTTTTTTTTACAATGTGATTTTTTTGTACCACTTTCATTTTAAGTGTTTTTTTTTCATCATTATAGATTACACTGCAGTTACTTTTGCTATTTTAGCTTTTTTGTATGAGAAAATTTTTAGTATTTGTACATTGCTTGCAAAAATAATTTGCGTTGTTAGTCATCCACTTTATTCACTTAGAAATTTATTTTTAAATAACATAAAGAAAAACAGACAAAACATTTATCATGAATAGATTTTTTTTATTAAGAATGGTGGGAGAATGTTTTTCTAAAAGTCTAATCAAGACGTGTGCTTCATTCTGCTGCTTTCATAGCAAATTACAAGTATATTACCACTTAACACACATGCTTGACAGTAGTTTTGTATAAAAATAGTCCTATTTATATACAGCAGCCAAGTCTAGAGAGAAATCTTTCTGAACAGTGAACAAAGCAGCAACTTCAAGTGAGACCAGAAATCTGCAGCAAACAATTGGAAACAATATGAAGCCATGATGTAGTTTTCAACAGAAGCAACCCCAAACACAGCAACAGTGACATAGGTGCTATCAACAGTAGGGCAACTAGAAGCTAAAACTTATTTAAAAAGTAGAATGCAAATGAAGCCAGACCCTTTTGAAAGATCCACTGGCCAAAATGATTCCAGTGTTGAGTTCCTAGTTCAAATGTCCCCCTTATCTTTTTAAGTATAACTCTGCTTTGCTGCTTGTCTAAACTCACTCATTATACTATGCACAAATGTACAACGCCTATTTACAAAACTTCATAACATTTCACAGGAATTTCCTTCAAAAACTCCACTGAACTTCACCAGTCCTGTGTTGTCAAGTACTAGAAACCAAGTCAGAAAAGACTATTTAATTGAAAAGTAAAACTGTTACTTTATAAGAGTAGTCAAAACATTTAAGACTAAACTTAGCCAATGTAAACCTACATTTCAAACAGCTCAACAACATGGCATTTGCCTCGTAATAAAATTCTGCCCTACTATTCTGTACGCTTTCACATCCTTCGCTCCAACAGCATCAGTGGCACTGAAAGCTTTCTTACAAACTTCTCTCGATACATTTCCCCCAAGATTTGATATTTTTACAACAGTTCATACAACACCTCCAATGCTAACAGCAACAGTATATTATTAAATCATTTGATTGAAAAATCATTATCTGATTGGAAAATAACTTCTCTAAGCGCCCCTCCCCCCAGCCCACCCTGGCAGTGCTTTTATATATTGGATCAATCCTCCAATAGGGATTGTGATCTTAACTCTTAGAATGTCACATTATACAATAGTACTCATATATTACTTCGATGAATTTGTACTCTGTATATAAGACATAGTCTTACTTTATATAATGATTGAAAAAAAAAAATCCAATCTACTACACACACACACATTTAAAGTAATGTTAAGCCACCGATGACAATGATGAATGAAAAGATGAACGTAATAATTAATGACCAGTCTGTCTTCCTTGAAGACACACGTAATGTGAATATTGATGTCCACCATGTTGCTTAAGTCAAGCTGCAGTCCCCAGTCCACCCTGGCCAGCCAAGATTCAAAGACGGCTCCAGGGGGGGAAAATAAGTTCCCAATAATAAGTACAACAATAGTGTGCCCAAAGCCAAAATCCTCTTCTCTATCGCTTTGCAAGTCATTAAATAATCCAGTTTTGCAGCACTTTAATGTAGTCTGCCTTTAAATAACTCCACATAAATAAGAAATAATCCTGTTGTTGTAGTATAATTCCACAAAATATGGTTTCGATATACTTCTTTATACATTATTTCTGATATTCCCTGTGTAGAAAGCAATCCATTTCCACTTCCAAGTTGCATTCAGAGCACAGCAGGGTACTCTGACATTCACTAGCTTCAGATTTCATCATCTTCATGGAACCAGCCAATCCAGGCTACTGTATCCATTTTTTGCTCCAGTCTTGTATTATTTGGTTGTCAACTTTTGTCATTTAGTCTGCCCGTGTGGTATCAATTTTTTATCTCTTGCCAAGATAATCCTTAGGGTCGTTTTCATGAAGGACAGCCACAGCATCCTTGACAGCATGGAAGATGATGTTCTTCACCTACAAAAGAGACAATTTGATTCTTTATGTTCCAGGATATCTACTTCATTAAAACTGCTTTCCATAACAATTACAACCAGAGTAGATAAGATTGTTCGCAAAATTTGTTTTTATGACTTCATATCTCATCTTCCCTCCAATTATGTATGACCAATTATATCTGAATCTCTAACAATACTTCATAACTTCTTGGACATGAAAATAAAACAGATCCTGATATTCGGAAGGTTAGTAAATAAAAAATAATTAAAAAGGGAAATTCACTCCTGCTGTTTTTTTCCCCTTTAAAACCTCCATTAAAAACTAGCCAGTGGTAGGGAGTTCTCACCTGTAGTTTGTCCTCATGGTTACTGTGGGTGTCAGACAAGTGACGGAACTCCTGAGTTAGTTTAAAACAATGGTTTAGATGTTCTGGCGAAACAAAGTCCTCAGCCACTTTAATACAGCTATGAAGATTCTGAACCTACAAAGAAAAACACAAATGAATTGTCAACAGCCAAGTTAATGAAGTGCCCTGAATAGTACCCCTGTGATAAATCGATCAAAAAAATAATCAAAGCATTATTTCATTAAATTTCACAGAAAACCATTGTTATTGCATTTCTGTGTACAAAACCAATGATCATAATAGCTTTCTGAAAAAACAGTCATCCGACTATGATTGGCTGCTTCTAAGAAAACAAGCAATGTATTCTCATGCAAGGAGTTCCAAGTTCAGTTCACTAATGTAATAAACAGAAGTACTGAGAAATTTATCTTTTTCAAGTGAAGCTCTATACAGACCAGAATGTAATTTCGTAATTACAGTGTTGTTCTATTTAGGTCTCCATACATTTATTGTCTTGAATATATAGCTAATCATAAATCAGTAGTTTTTTTTTTCTCTGACTTAATTCCTTTTTCACACCAGAGATTTGCATCAGGTTGTGTCTTACCTGATGTGGGGCACCCCCTGGAATAAAGATGGCATCCCCCAGGCACTGCACAATACAGTGGCCCTGGACTCCATACTCCTTCAGCAGACGCTCCCTCAGTTCTTTGTTCAAGTACCAGGACTGGTCATGGATGGGATCATGGTCGGGCTCAATGGCCTCCCCTGTCTCCTTGGCAACCTTGTTTAGGAAGTCCCGAATCTTGTCTGCATCTTGAGCATCATATATGTGCCAAAGAGCTCCTGGTTTTTCCTTCATTTCGACCACCCTCCGTTTTGTGAGGAGGTCAGCCCCAGCCTCATTAATAGCTCGTATGGCTGCTAGAAAAAATGAAGACATGACGCCTGTTGGTTACTATGCTTTAAAACACAACCCCAGAAAATGTCGATTGATGTTTGCACACACTAAAATGAGAATGAGATCGGCAAACTTTACTGAAGGATAGGAGTGCATGGGGCATTTTGACCAGCAGATGCCTTCAAGTGCAAGTCAAAAAGCCGCCATCACCTAGTCAACATCGGAAAAGTTGCCAGATACTTATTCTGATCCTAATGCATGAAACATAGCAAACCCAACACATTTTCTGTTTTGTGTGCCACTGCCACTGGGGTGAGCACATGCTGGAGGAAATTCTCACACTTCACATACAACCCTACACCACAACAGACATCCGCCACATTAGAGTTCACATCAGACAAGAACAGGAAAGAAGCAAACAAGCACTGAAAATAAATATGATACCAATCAAGTCCAAAATCAATAAACATCAGTGAGTAGTAAAAAAAAAACTTTTCTCTCCAACCCCCCCCCCCTCTCTATCTCTCTCTCTCTCTCTCTCTCTCTCTCTCTCTCTCTCTCTCTCTCTCATCAACTTACCCCTTTCATATTCTTCCTTGTCATCCACTGGTATTCCCACATACATCATCACATTGACAGCGTCAGAGACATCTAAATGCAAGTTGGTGGTGCCTGTCTCAGTCTTGTGGGCAAGTCCTGGAGTAAAAGAAACCATGTGCATCATTAAAAGAACTAACAAGTTATACAAATCTTTATTCTGACAAACACAGAACCCAATGAGTATTAGTCTCCATTAGCCTTATGCTTAAAATGACAGGAATCAGCTGATGCTTCAAGCAACTGGTAATTACATATTGAATGGACATTTATACTTTCTGGATGAAGTATTCTAACACAACCAAAACCCCTACAATTGTCTCTAAGTTTAAATAAAGAATGATCAACTAACCATAAGCATTGTACATCTTAGGGCCGAGGTCGGGCCTGACAAAGAAGTCCGGCAGCCTGGAGGCCAGGTTGAGGCGGCCAGTGCGGTGGGTGTACTCAGGGACAGGCAGGGCCTGCATTAGGTCCTGGAACCGTGTGGGTAACAAATCACTGAAGTCCTCCCCAGGAGGCCAGTCCTTCAGCTTCATCACCATCGGCTCATCATCATCATCCAGCAGTCGCTCTGGAGAAATAACAGGATAAGAAATTAATATGATCATATCAACCACCTGTCTTAAGTTCTGGTGTAGGGGAAACAATTTTGCTAGAAAAAATTTCTTTTAAAGAAATAACACCTTTAGCTTTCCAATAAGTTACAATTGAATATATGTAGTACATGAAATTGATTAAGTAACATATCTTGTTTAAGAGTATTTGAACAGAAAAACATGAAAGTGACAGTGTTTCACAATATCGAAGAGACTTACCTCTACAGACTTCAAAGCCTTCCCAAAAGGCTTTCATTTTCTGACCCACAATGACCACACCAGTCAGGCAATTGACCAGGTCATTCTCCAGATGACCAAACTCTTTGGCAAAGGTCTCTGGCTTCCACAGATCCATGTTCAGGAGCTTCTCCAACCCAGACACCATGACAGGCAGCCCCAGCCTCCACTGATCCTGGAACAACTGGAGGTTGTTAGCGTGGCGAGGGTCGTGCAGGCGCAGGAGGCGTCCGTCACACAGCCAAGTGTGAGGCACATCTGGGTAAAGAAGACTAGTCTCGGTAAGGTTGTGTACTGGGATGGGGGCCTCACGCCCAGACATGGGGGCAGAGCCATTCTTTGGGATATAGTGCATCAGTTTCAGTGGACTCGGAGTGGTTCCGTCCATCAGCTTGGCATCCTCACGTGGCAAATTTTTCTCCACCACAGACTGGATGATCTCACTCAAGGTGCTGGTGTACATCTTCCCATCCCCTACCACACTGCTGTTATTCATCTTGGCTCTCTTGGTGAGAAGCATCTTCAAGGTGGAACAGTTGTCTGCATTGTGGTGGCCCTTATGGTCCCCCGTACACTCTGGCCCACACACTAAACCAGCCTCCAAGTTAGCGGGCAAATTCTTCCCTATCTGGGCTGAGTTAATGGCGGGAGCATTCAGGGTGTAGGCCTTTGTTTCTTGGTAAGAAGGAAAGTCCGAGGCATTTTTCTTTTCCCTGATCTTGTTCAGGGACTCCTGTTTATTCTGTCCTTTGTTTTTCTCGGAGTCCATGGAAGCCACATCTGCCAGTAAGCTGAGAGGGTCAATGTTCCCCCCTGCCATCCCCTTGCTGCCCACAGAATTCATGCTCTGGCTGAGGGGGCCATTGGAGAGAGCATCTTTGGAATTAAGTAAGCCATCTGGATAGGATGAACTGAGCTTTTTACCATGGTGGTTGTGACCGCCATTGTGACCAAATCCATTGACCAGTTTCTTCCCCTCTGGAGATATGCAATTGTTGACTGCATGTAGGAGTTGCTAGAAAAGAAAAGATTTGACATTAAACCTTCTGGGAAAAGAAAACAATACAAATATCTCAACTGTCTAGAAAGAAATGCAGTGTATTGGAAGATAAACATTGTAGAAGACTATAGCAATTTCATTTTAAATCAAGTTTGAAAATCATCTATGCAAATATATATTCTTAGTGATAGGTGAAATCAAGTTTGAACCAATTTAAAACCTGACTGTTGAAAAAATCAAGACTAAAACCCCCATGTTAAGACAATCACAGATCAGTTCTTACCTGGCTGACCCCATTCTTGGGTGGTAAGACGAGGTCATCCCCGGCACCACAGGGGCAGTACACTGGGATGGACCACTTTGGACGGACTTCATGGATCAGCCTACCAACCTCCCACAATGCTGGAAAATTACACAAGCAAAGATTTCTTGTAAAAATTGAACTGATATATCCAGATACATAAATAACAGAATAAATGGACAATCAACATAGCTGGTTTTGCAAAACTCATACATCAGGTCCCAAGTTCACATTATGAAATATGCAACAACTGCTCAAATTCACATTCAATTTTGAGATTACTATATCACAGCCCACAATGAATCAATATGATCTTTTTAAAGTATAAAATCAGAGCATGATGTGGAAGACAATTACCATCTCCAGGGATGATCTGTGTAAGCATCAGCTTGTCAGGGTCGTGAGGCTGTCTGTTGGAGCTGCACGTCAACCAGTTGTGTTCGTCACCTTCCTTTGACTCTTCCTCCATGTCATACTCGGAGACAGCATTGTCCTTCTTCACCTTGTAGCAGTCCAGGCAGACGACAAAGCCACACTTTTGACACACCCAGTGCATGTTGAACAAGGTGGTGTCGCACACATCACACATTTCACGCACGCCCTGCACCTGACGCTTCCATGCTATCTTGTCTTCTGGAAATAGTTAGAAGGATGATATTACTTTTCTGGATATACTTTATTGCTCTTGGTTCTACCTTTATAATCCATACATAATGAGCCCTTGATTGCAAGAAATGACTGATAAGGGTGTACACAACTCTAATTCAAACACAATCCTGAAGCCCAGCTTTAACTGAATTAAAATGTAGAATGGGCTTTGGAAAATCATTCAAACCTGGACTCGATGAATCCAGCAATCAAATCTTGCAAACTACCCTAAAATCCAACTTACGGTGTTCTCCTGCCCATGACATGGCAGCTTGCTCCTGCATGACCAGCTCACAGAACTTATCCCCCACCCGGGTGATGATATACAAGGCAGTCTCCACATCCAGGCGAGGGTGGATCACTGGAAAGAACACACAGTCAACTTAGTTTAACAGTCAGTTTAATTTACTTCTATTGTGCATTTTTTATTCAGTATTTGTCAAACTGCAAGGAGAGTAAAACAAAGACTTACCTATTCTTGTACAGTTGTACTGATATATATATCAGAAGAGCAATAATGCAATACTCAAGTTCCCATTCCTTGATGTTTATATTATTCTACAGTACCTTCTTGTTTTATTAATGGAAAAAAGAAGAGATCATATTTACCAGGTGTTTGCGGCATCCAGGGAGCAATGTCATCAACTTCTGCATCACTTGGGTGAGAGAAGCCGGCGATCATCAAGAACCCTTTTTGGCTAAACCGCAATCTGAAAACCAACAACATTCAGATTAGTACCAGCTTTGCATTGAGAAAATAAATAAATAAATAAATAAATAAATAAATAAATAAATAAATAAATAAAAATAATTCTTTTTTAAATCTTCAAATACACCTTCAATATGAAATGTCATGCAATATCATGTAGGAAATTGTTTGTAATTTGTTACGGGTCAATGATCAGCCCAAGTTGCTCTACCACAATCTAACCACAAAATTGTCAAACCTGTTCAAAAACAGGAAAATGTAATCTGAACTGTCACTCAAAAAGACTTGAACTTAGGCATAATATCTAAATGCACAACTGAGGTCTCTTGAGTGCTGAATTTGAAGGTTTTTTTTTTTGCCTATTTCAGCACTACGTTCATCTTTAATATACTAAATTTAAATGCATATATACTCTTGTTCTCTTATTTTATTAGATCAATGGAACAATGAACTCCAAACAGCACGCTTAATTTACAGTCTCCCAGCATAAGACAGCTTATATCCTCACATGACCTTTATGGCAGTGCAGGCACATTTCTACAAGGCCTTCTAACAACTGGATAAACAAGCTGGCATTATGTGGTCACATGGTCTTATCAATAAATGACATGGCAGCCACCAGACTCTCTGACTGCTCACAGTCTACAGCTGGAGGGGGAATCAGACATTTTATGTGCAAGGGCAACAATGAACATAGTGCTGAATAGGAGCCTCTGCTATCAATTCATTTGCATTTACATGGTTTTCGTAACGCTTTGCACTGTCACTTTTTTAAGTACATGCTTTCCATCCTGGTCATTATCTGGAGCAAAGGGAATGTATTAATCTATCCACCAAACTCCATTTCTATTACACAAAAACAAGGACATGTCCAGAAAACCCATCTATCAAGCTGGTGGCCCATTTAGGCAGCCACAGAATGGGCAATTACTCTTCCATCACAGAACATGTCACTGACCTCAATGGAACAAAGAGGGCCTGTGAGAGACCACAACTGGGGTAGTGACGCCACTCACAGTCGGCCTGACCCCTATTTCCAAACCATGGCAGCCACTTTGCATAGTCTGACACATGCAGTTACATTAAAGGTCTTAGATGAGGAGTCTGAGGCAAGGTAGTCTAATTAGGAAATCAATGGTTAACTATGGCTCCCACTCAGCCCACCTAAGCCAACTGATCTACGATAATGTTACAGAGATTTAATGGGACTTGGGAGTTCTGGTATGCTGCTTTGTACTATTTCTAGCTTGGCTTCCACCCATAACCCGAGTTATATCTAGGCTGCTGAAAACATGCCAAGTCATATCTCAAAACATGCGGGAAGATTAATTACATCAGTCTGAGGTTTTTTCATTACTTCTGCACGAAATGAACTGCCTAATAACACAGCTTAGTCTAATGTTCTTCTACCATCTGTAATGATAAATGAATGGTGCTGGGTGCAGCAGCCCCGATGTCTCATCACAAGCACGCACATCAGCAGATAGTCCAGCCACTGATAATAGCAGCAATGTCCATTATCTATTCTTAAAGAGCCCTGGCTTATGAATAACCAGATAAATGCCTCTCATATCTATATTTGGGTGATAAATATATATCAGGATCAAAGCAAATATACATGAACATGTCCATGCAGCATAACAAAAATTAATCTGTGGAATTATTAAAGGATTAGGAAATCTCATTCAACCTAATAATAAGCCTTTGAGGTCCCTGTAATAACCTTTGTTGTAAACAGGTTTTCAGCGTCCCTGTGACAGGCACTAATTGGTCTTACAGGTAATAAGGGGCCTCGCTGTGTCCATCAACATACATTACAGACATGAAACCAAACATATTATTCATTTACCAGCCATCCGCCACCATGCACACATAATGATCCTGCGTGCTAATGGACTTTCCTTGTAATATCCGACTCCATTATTGTAGTCAGCTACTAACAGCTGCCTTTTACAGGTGACAGAACTGTATACTTTCAACTTATTACTTTCATGTTCCCTGTACACATAAATGAATGTGAATACTACGTGGTGATCACTGAACTCAATTTTCATATTTGAGTATTTCTACATTAAATATTAATCTGTGATTAAATGACAAGCACTACCTCCATATGGTTTGCTAACGTAGCATGTCAAATCAAAGTTAATCTAGTATTAGTGCATTTTCTTCTGGATACCATTAAAAATTTATTCTGCAGAAATATGTTACCATACCTTCTAAATGCAAAGAATCGGCAAAATATGTTGGGAAGCTTCTTGTTGCGTTGACTTGGACTCATCTTACATTCTCGACATTTCATCAGTTTTGGTGTAACTTCAGAACAAGGCCCATCTTGGAGAAAGGCCTCACTAGACTTTTTGAGATTATGTGTAGATTTCTTATTTAGAGGCTTGCTAACCACAGCTATATAGAAAGAAAATAATTCATTAGCAAAGAAAACACTGACCTTTTTAAAACATTCATGATTTTATTTATCAAATAAATCTAGATAAGTGAAAAATAGCTCTTCCTTCATACACCTGATATTCAAGTTGAAGGATAAGCGAAAGTACATGCCCAAATATTTACCATTTGAGTTTTGTCCTTGCTCTGGTTCTGACTTATTCACAATTCTTTCTTTTAATCTTCGACCCTTTTTTTTCCCACTGCGGCTTTCTGCCTCTGATCCTGAGGTATCATATCTGTCATCACGACTGAGATCATAGACTCTCTTCTGTTTATTTTCAGTCTTCTTCGATTTCTCTGCATCTCTGCCTTTCTCATAAGGGTCACCAGACTGTAATAAATTTACACAAGTTTAGTGGCCGGTCATTCACCTATACTCTCACTAATTTATTCAAGTAGGCTGTAAGGCATAACTGTGTTCAAATAATTAACATTTTACATCAAATTACACCAATTTAGAAAGACTTTCTGTTTCTTTTGGTTAAAAATCTTACCTTTGACTTTGGGCACTCATCGTTTTTTGACTTCTTATTCACAGTATTTTTCTTTTTATTCAGGACAGCATTAGAATCACTGGATTCACTTTTTCCAGAATCGTTCTTCAACTTTTTTGTACCAGATCTTCTTTTGGTCTTTATTTTTCTTTTACTGGCATCGCTTCCCTATGAACAAGTTAGACATCACTTAAACATCATCATAATACACAAACAATTCTTGGTATTTTTTTTTATCTAAGCATATAGTTGTGCAATGTTCCAATAGACATGTTTAATTAACATTTGAACCCGATGACAGATACACCAAAAATATGCATGCTGTGGCAGTGTCCATATTTCAAAGTAATCAACTCATTTCATTGTGCATTACAAGTTTTACAATTACAGATAAACGGTATGAAAAAATAATCCAACAGATGATAAAAACATCTGGCCCATCAAACAACCACTAAGTTTATCACTTCACTGCAGTCAAAGAGATATGAAATTAACCCCAGCAAGACCATCTGTGAATGAGTAATACTGCTCATTTCTGCATCATTAATTTTTTTAAGGAATCTCATCACATCATTTCACAAGAGAATACCATAACAGCTGTGGAATAATTGCTAGGTGGGAAATACTTCTAAGACAGAAAAAAAATGTGTTATATTACCTGAGATTCTGATTCTGATGCAGAGCTGGTGGACTCATCTGCAGCTGCCCTGGAAAAATCCTTTTTTGGAAGGGGGTAACTAGGTTTCCTCTCCTCCGATTCTTCCTCTTTTCCAGAATAAGAACAGTTTGTAACGCAATCCCTGAAGTCAATTTTGGACTTTTTTGAACATTCCCCGTTTTTTGAATCTTGGCTTTTATCCCCACTGCGATCCTCATCGGAGTGTCTCTGCAGCCAGGCCTTCTTAAGTTTAGTGTGATTTCCCGACCTGGATGGAGAGACACTGACATCACAGTTTTTTATATGAGGTGGTGGACTGGGTGCACTTAACGTATCACTGTCTGTATCGATCATTCCGTTTGCAACGCGGTTGATGGTCTCCATGATAGAAGAGGTGGAACTGGTGACGGATGCTGCTGAGCCAGAGCCCGGTGGCGTCAGGATCTGACTGGTGCTGACACTAGTGGTGCTGCCACCACTGCTAGCACCACTGCTACTGGGAGGAAGATGAGTGGTACTGATAGCACTGGCGGTGCTGCTGCTTGTGGTGGTAGCTGTAACTGCGACTGACAATGATGCTGATGGCGATAATGACGATGCTGTAGATGGTGGCTTGGATGATGACTGTAATGGTGTGGGGGTTAGCTGTTGCTGTGTTGATGTTAGAGGTGCTAGTTGAGTTGGCTGCTGAGAAGAGCTGGATGGCACCTTCTCCTCAGCTTCCACATCACTGGGTGCAACATTTCCCTTTGGATTTAGCTCCCGATCTTGGTAGAAAGCATGCTGTACAGTGTTCTCGACAAATGATTTAAAACTGTCTATAAAGCCACTTCGTAAGCTGCTATTTATGGAGGAGCTTGATGTTGCTGTTTGAGAAGTGGTGCTGGGTAAGTGTGAGGTGGCACCACTCACCTCTCCTCCTACACGTGGCTTTTTCTTAAACCCTGCCTCTCTGCTGTTCATAGGTTTCCCTCTCTTGTTGCTGCCCGTTGATAAGTTCTGTGGTTTAGCAGAGGATGCACTATTGGTATTATTACTACTACTATTGTGTGCATACTGCATGCCACTAGTTGCAGTCAATGAAGTAGATTGTGAGATCTGAGGATCATTTGGCTTGTATGATGAGCTGAAGCCACTATGGTGGCCATAACCTGAATACACCCCCTGGCTTTGCATGAGACTGGGTTGAGAGGATGAAGATGAAGTTGAAGGGTGTCCTTGAGCAGCTGTGGGTCTCCCTCCGGGGCTGGTGTGACCCTCTTTTCCTGATAACATGGCAGGATTTTTCTTTATTTCCATGGGCTGCATCACTGCTGCCGAGAGCTGCTGTGGGCTGGCCACACGCAAGGGACTTTGGGAATAGGACGAGGACTTGGGGTCTACATGACGAAATGCATGAGACGATGGAAGAGACTGCGTGTATGGCACGTGTTGTGCACTGGAAGTAGGCAGTCCTCGCCTGTCTTGTTGTTGTTGCCGCGGTGATCCTGGTCTACCCATATCAGAATGTGCACTCCCTGTTCTTGCCTGTTTATTCTCCACTATGACTGTAGATTTAGGAGAGTCCTTTATTAATGGAGGGGGTGGTGTTAGTGTTTTCTTTCCATGGGTTTTTTGGTCCACTGTTGGCTTCACATCCTGAGGTTCCTTCTTAACGTCCAAATCATGCAACTTATCAGGGGAAATAAACGTAGGATTCTGGAATGGTCGATAGCCGTATAAACTGAAGTTTGGCGGTTCTTGTTTCACTCTTCCCTCTGATGCTACACGGGCATACTCATTCAAAGCTGCTGTGTAATGGGAAAAGAACACGGGCTTGCCTCCCTCGGCTGCTGCACCCTTGGCCAGCATCTCTGCTATCCTCTGATCGGCAGGGTAAGTCTTGCGTATTTCCTCCTGGATCTGCATCTGTTTCATCAGCTCCTCCTGCTGCAGTGCCAGTTTGCTCTTGTCGTCCGTCTGGCTGAGGATGTAGCTGGAGTGGGACGCCATGGCCTTGGCGGCAGGATGCAGCCCTTTCACCTTCTGCTGCAGCTCCAAGTGCTGCTGCTGACGAGCACGCTCTCGCTCCCATTCCTAGAAAACAGACAGAATCAATGACAGTTATTGATTTCCAGACCAGACTTCCAAGCGACTCATCTATGCATAATATTCCTTAGAGATCTACTTAATGCAGCTCCAATCTGTCTACTTCAAATAGCATCCTACATAAAATCTAATAATGGGCATAATAAGTTGAAAACAGCCTGGATAACTGGGGTAATGGCCCTCGGGGCAGCATTTGAACTGCATCACCTTTCATTTATTTTGTTGTCTTTCATTTAAAAAAAAAAAATCGGTGCAAAAGATATGATTAGTCACATATCAATGTTAAAAGTACTTTTCACCCACAGCATATATTACTCATGAAAAATTTTTTTAACATTTCTGACATTCAGACTGATAATACATGACAATAACAAACATGTTGACCTTTCCAGCAATTCTGACAATTTTTTGAATTTTTTATTTTGTGTGTGTGAGTTAAAAATTAAAAGATCCTTCACCTTAACATTTCATGGCACATTCTATGACTAAAACAACATTTTTCAAGGTTTAAGAACAAAGAAAAAATTTAGAAGGGTACTTTCCAATCTGTGTACTCTCTCTCTCCTAAGCAATTATTTTCAGCAACACTTACAATAATAATAAAAAAAAAAAACATTTCAGTCACTTACACGCACCATTCTCATCTTCTCATCCTTCTCCTTGGGGTCCTCTTTTTGGTCCCGTGTCTGTGGTGTTGCAGTGGCCGGGTAGACTGGCTGAGGTTTGGTCAACCCCTTGGCCAGTCCCGTGGACGCACCTGCTGACGTGGTGGCAGGGGCTTTTGGAAGGCCTCGACTGATGGAATGGCTTCCCCATGGGGCCCTGGCTGCTGCAGCATACTGAACAGAAGAGAGAGGAAAATCGTGTTAACTACAAAGTTCACTTGCTTGACTTACATCTTCATTCTGTTGATCTGCACAGGGTTGAAACACTGGAAGACTACATATTAAGTATCCTTTCACAGGGAAAAAACCCTCCTGCTAGGGTTATTTAAGAACACATTTCTAAATCTGTAATAATATAAAATATGTATTCCCTCAAAGTTATTCATCACTTAAAATATTTTCCCCTAAAAAGTTGGGCAGCTTAAATTTGCTGCATAGGGTACAGAAAGTTCTCGACATTAAAATTTCCATAATGGTCTTGTTGAAGGGTTCACATCCTTGTCAAGAAGACGGTTATTGCAGTGCAATGCAATTTGTTCAGTTTTATGAAGTATGCCACCGATTTCCAGCAGGCCCCAAACAACTATAGTAAGTGAATCTGACACATGGGGAAGTATGCAACTGTTCATCTCTCTTGGAAGATGCTGCCAAAACATCCCAAATGGGAAAACATAAAAAAAAAAACCTGCATGCACATACAGGCTTAACCTGCCGATCTTGCTCTGGCTCCAATAACAATCCAGTCTACTCATGTTATGAGAAAAACACAGGAAGCTCAGCAGTGCTTTGCTAAGCTCATCAAGCCTGATCAAAACATGGGTCAAATTTGTAATGAGGCCTAGATCACCCTAAGACACCGCCACCTACTGGGTCTAGAGAGCTGAAGGAAGTAGGCTACTGAAGATAGGCCCAGCAGGAGCCCAGCTCTGGTTCTGACCTTGGAATACTGGGGAAAGATTTATCTATCTGGGCTGGAATGTGGGTTGAAAGCAAAAACTACATAAGTGTGTGTGTGTGTGTGTGTGTGTGTGTGTGTGTGTGTGTGTGTGTGTAAAAAGGGGTTGCTTTTTAAAACCTATGCTCAGTTTAAAATAAAAAATTGGAAAAAATACGACGTCCACAAAATGACGTGCTGATGTCCCAACAAAGGACCCCCCCTCTTTCTCTTAATACTTCATCGTAAGCGAGAGGATAAAACAAAACGATGGGAAAAATGCCTCTTAACCACTGTGTTAATTAGTCCAATTATCGTTACTAGGCAAACCTATTGTATCCAGGAATCCTCCCTGTGTAATTCCGTAAGGGGTTGTGTGTGTGCATGCGTGCCTGTCTATGTGTGTGTGTGTGTGGTGAGTGATGACAGCATTCAATACAGCTGTTGATAAATACCACACACTTCTTAGATCACCTAAGGCTGGCAAATACCTCCATATTCCAGAGTAAAAAAAAAAACATTCTGCCACAAGGAGATAAATTTCGCATCTGCTTTCAATTGCTGCCCAGAGATTCTTATCACCCTCTTCCTATAAATCATTCACAAGCCTCCATCCAGGGTACTTTTGTTCCAAGTTGTAAATACAACCATAGAGAAAAACTATTGATTTTATAATACAGATGCCATCACGCAAAAGTGAAATAAATGATATAATCGTTCCAGCATGATACAGGTGGACTCTGAACCAGTTTCTAGTCTGCAAGATTACTGTGAACCAGAAGGAGTGATCAAGACATATATCCGGAACAGTCACAATATTGAACTGTAGGTTACCTGGGACAAAGACTTGCTGAAATGCTGTTCTACAGCTTCAGCAGCAGTCTGTGCAGACTCCCTGAGAATACGCTCTCGTTCTTGACGCTGCTCTCGTTCTTGGCGCTCACGTTCCTGCCGGTCACGCTCTGCTCTCTCCTTTTCTGCTCGATCTTTTTCTGCTTTTTCTCTTTCAAGCCTGTCCCTGAAACACACAGTTTAGGTTTCAATACAACGCAATCAATTTCAAGGTTAAAAGTAATGAGAAAATCCCAGGCATAGCTATCTAAATCAATAACAAGCCCAGAAATCTACAGGAAAAACTAATTGATGGAAAACATACATGCCAATGTCTTTAACAGATGATAGATTATGACATATATATTGAGGATAGAAGAGATAAATATATGCCTCATTTGCTGCCAATGAGATTGTACAGAAACCACACTCACAATCTGTTTACATTGCACAATCAGTTGCATTTAATGAAACAATATTTCTTCTGTTTTGACACAAATATAACCATATCAAAACCTCCCATACTGACTTCACATCCTTACAACAGAGACAACTGAATATCAATCTCTACTTCAGCTGCCTCATTCAACTTCAAACACTCCCATGCCCTCCAAAATGGCCCATTAGAAAGATTAATGGTCTAATGTGTATGTGGGGGAAACAACAGGCTACAGCCGTATTTATGCTTGGTATTTCAGGAAACAGTGACTGGAAAAGTGGTTTTCGTAACAGGCCTGATTAATGACCAAATTACAAATCTTCCCTGTGGAGTTTTTTTTTCTTTAATAAAATTGTATATATTATGGAATGTGTCCAGATGTTTGCGTTTAATACACACCAATAAATTACTCAGGGAAACAATAGCAAAACCACTCAAGTTTTATTTACTATACTATTCGTGGAAAAGCCTACAGAGGCACACAGGCTGTGACTATTCATGGCTTGTTTTCAGTTTTCCTATAGCTGTTGGCACAGAAATGAGGCTTGCCAAAAGTAATCAAAGGTGTGTAGCAACGCCAGACCTTCCCTCAAACCAGGTGTTTCGATTATCATCTAACCCCAATCTCACCTTTCCATATATACTACAGAGAGATCCAGGTGTTTCCAAGTTCTTAAAATATACACCATAGGAATGCAGTTTTGCCATGACTTTGAGACTGGAATGATCCCCACGTGTTAATTAAGTTAAATTAAATCAGCAGGAAAAAAACGGAGCTGAATTAACTAACACTCATCGCCCCATGGTGACATGTGTTACTGCAATAAGCAGAATGACCAACCAATTATAATGCAGGTCAATGAATTCAGTGGGTGTGGCTTCAGGTAGGAGACAATATATTACCTCTTGGGAAGTCAAGTCACCTGCGTTGATTGAACTTTATTTTTTCTCCAAAAATGTGCCGTATGCTTGAGTCAAGAGCAGACAGGATGGTGAAGTAGCGGGATGTATGCCATTTGCACTTCCAAATTTTCAATAAATGGAGGTCTGCCATGGAAACTTCCCAAAATCAACACTCCACAGTAACCACAGCGGTATTTCACAAACCCATTTACTGCCCTGAATCCTATTTCTGCCCAGTAAATAGGTGTGATGGGATTAATATGTGGTGTATTACTGAGGTTACAGAGCGGCTTAATGCCTCTATGGTCTGGCTGTGGTATACAGGTGTTGCATGTTAAAACTTGGAGCCTGGGATTAGCTGGTAGTTCATGCATGAGTACACCCTGACAGCCACCAGCTTGATATATGGCCAGATAGTATGGTGAACAAAGACGGCACTGTCATGTGGTGGGAACCCCAAAGTAGGTCACAGCCAAGTAAGATGAGAAAGAAAGAGGGAGAGAAAGAGGTTGCTGGCTGAACTTTCTCCATAGATATGATTTCCACATGCATGCATGAGCTCAGACGTGGGCCGGCTGCCAACCACCAACAACTAGCAGCTGACTTAGGTGCTGCTGACAGCTCTGGCATTCAAACTCAAAATATCGCCCTTGCATTTCTCCTTTTTTTACCATACCTCCTTTCATTCCACAGTTGTTTTTTGAACATGCAAAACCCAAACAGGTGAAGGAAAGTCCACCCAGCCCTAACATGTGGTTAATAATAAATTTCTCTCAACGCATCACGACAGAGGCATTTTATCAGGAGGCCGTAAAGATTGCACAACTGATGAGAACGGCACACTTATCATTACCATGTTAGACGAGGCAATAAAGGATTTCTTGCATTAAATGAGACCTGGGAGTCTGTAATAGTTGAAAAAAAGTCAAATGAGGGACAGTTTGCACACCTGGCTGGCTACTTTCCTAAGGTGTCTTAACCAGCGTAATGACATTTCTATCTGGCAGTTTTGTATGGGTTCATGCTGTCACACATACACAGGTGGGACCAGCTTTCTTTCAGCTGTATAACCTCTAGCATTGATGGCTTGTCAGACAATTGAACTACAACAACTAAAGACCTGTCACTGGGAACATGTAACCAGACACTTCTAGGTCTCTTAAAGCACACAGGAGCCTAATAACAGGGGACAATGAATGTTGTAGGCTGTGTAAAGCACCTCGCTTCTACGTTGTCATCATTTTTATATACGGGGGACCTCAAGGCAGGGAGGAAGGGTAACTGTACCCTACAGAATACATAATATTCCATTTCATTTAAATTCACTTCATAATCACAGCCCATTCCCCTTAACATATCCTGTCCTAGTTGTTGACTTGACAATATATTACCATCATACCAGTCATCTTGCTAGTCATAACAGATAAGCCCTATCTTCATTTGCATGACATGCTGGAATTATTTAAGCTTTCCCATACATTTCCATTATCATTAACCGATCTATTTTTTGAGAATGTGAACTCAAAATAGCACAATTTTGTTTTCAAATTGCCGTGGACCAAGTTATTCACACTAGTGCCATAAATCAATATCCTCAATTTCACCTCCATACCATATTTCCTTTAATAGTATTAAATTTCCTACTCAGCAAATATCATATCATGACCTCATTAATCATCAATTCAAATATACCTTTAACATAAAAGTGAAGTAACAAGCTCAAGTATATGGTAATTCCAGGGCGGTGAAGCAAAATGCCAATTGCCATGATAAATATCTTTTTGTACCCTTCAAACACACATAAAACACTTTTATAGAGCTCTAAAGCGTATGTTAATTGACCTACCTTTCTTTGCGTTCCCTCTCAATCTTCTCCCGCTCCAGGCGCTCCCGTTCCTGCCTCTCCCTCTCCACCAGCAGGTCTCTCTCCCTGGTGAAGGTGTCTCTCAACAGTTCATCCTGGTATTGTATAAGCATCCAGGGGGGTGGCACGGGGACACTGGGGAACTTCTGCTGCCAAAGCCCCTCCAACCTGGCCGTGGACACACCGTGGAGGCTCTGGCTGTACAGGGAGAGCAGCTGCTGTTGCTGCTGTTGTAACAGTGAGGCAGGGTAGTTGAGTAAGTGAGGGTGGGCCGCCAAGCGGGTCAGGGTATCGACAGGGGCGTGATGGGCCAGCATGCTGAGGGAGCTCGGCAGAGCACTGGCTCCGATCAGAGACGAGGACAGGCCCATGGTTGTGGCTGGGTACATGGAAGGAGGTAGGAGACCTGCCGACCTGTGAATGCCTTGCTGGAGAGCAGGGTGGGAAGAGGGATGGTGACCTGGAATTGGTGTGTGAACTGTGGGGTACGGGGAAGCAGAATGGGGTGTGGGTGTGTGATGCCTTGATATGCCATAGCTGGCTAACTGTTGGCGTGTTTCAATGTCTCTTTTGATCAACTCTGGATCTCTATACACAGTAACTGGTTCATTTTTATCTAAAACTAATGGGCTTGTAGGAGGGTTATCCCTGGCCCTTCGCATTTCTTCGATGCGGCCATGTGGACCTTTATCATCTCCAGACCTAGTACTAGTATCACTTGTTCTGGAACTTGATCGTTCCTGGGACCTTCTCACACTCAAGTCCTCAGGTTTATTACTGTCCCTACCAGGATCCAAGGTGGGGTACCTGGGTATCCTCTCCTCCACCTTAACACCTCCACTACTCCCAACAGGACGAAGCTCCGAACTTTTAGGTTCAGTCCGAGGGGAGAGAACTGTTGTAAAATGATCTCCAGCCTCTCCGCCATTAGTGTCACTACCACTACTTTCCTTCTTTTCCGTCTTTGACATTTTGGCAATCTGGTCTGTTATGGAGTGATTTAAATTGATATCCTGTGGTGAAGGAGCTGCTGCCACAGTGGAGGCTGGGGCTGGGGCTGACGCTGTTGGTGACTGTATGGAACTTGGGGCAGAGCTCGTGGTAGTAGGTGCAGCTGCACTCTTGTCACGCTGCTCCCCAGCCGCCAGTAAATGCATCTTTTTATAATGCATGCTGTCGCTATTCTCTTCCTCCTCTTTACTGGAGGGAGGAGTAGCAGTCGAAGGAACTTCTTCCTCTGCAGAAGCCGCTGTGCTTACTTCCTCTTCAGTGTCCCCCTGACTTTCATTGTTTGTCTTGGAGTGATCTTCTGTAGCAACTGTAGTTTCCTGTGGTAGTTGAGGTAAGGGCTGAGAAGCTGAATCTAGTTCCTTTCCTTCGGCAGACTTTGTCTGTCTGCCCCCTGAGCGTGGCTTAGTAGCTTGCCTACTTTTTCGCTGCCTGGTTTTCTGCTCTGGGTTTGGCTGCTGTTGTTCTTGCTGAAAAGTGGGTTCACTGCTGTTGGTCCCCTCCTTGGGTTTAGCAGCTCTTTGTTTAGGAGCAGAGTCCCGAGTTTTGCTCTTATTTTCCTTCCTCTCCTTGGTTTCTTTCACAGATGGTTGCAGCTGAAGTTCTGTTTGTTTAGCTTGTTTCTTGTTCTTTGCCTTCTCTGGTTTCTCTTTCTTGGGTTTGAAGTCTTCAGCTGTGAGATGGCTCACAGCTACAAATGGAACTGGGGTACCCTTTCTTGGTGAGGCAGAAACCACTTTCTCATCAATCGAAGTTTTCTTTTCTGCTTTTTTCACTTCCTGAGACTTGTTGCGTTTACTTGTAGTAGAAATAGTAGGTGAAGGCCTGTTTTCTATAGATGAAGAGGTTTGAATTTCAGTAGTAGCTTCATCAGTAACTTCTGGTTCTTGAGGATCAGGTTTGCGTTTACGCTGTTCCCTCTGTAACTTGGGCCTGGTAGTACTGCTGGGCTTCTCCAACACCTCACGTTCTGCAAATAGACAACACATGCATCAGATTCTACATAATGGTGTACCCAAGACCATTTAATAAATACCATCTCAACTAGTACCTGTGAAGCTGATCCAGACAGCTTTTATGGCAGCTGCTGAAGTAATAAAACACACACTCTAGAGACCTTTTTCACCCTCATGAAACTGCAGCTTTTACATGCTATTTTTGACCTTCTAGGTCGGCAAATGATGCTGCATAAAGAGCCCATCTCTCATCAACATGCACATAAAACTGTTGTAGATCACACTAGTCAAGCCACATAATATGATCAAAATCAGGCCGCAGGGCACGAATCCTGATGATGCTGTTTTTTAAATGTCAGACCTTCTGATGAAACAGCTTTCTAGTGTATTTATGAAACTGCAGAGCTGTTATCGTAAAATTACAGCCTATCCTGTATCCCGTTTCACAAGTAATGGACTCACAGGACATTCTGTCTCTGTCAGAAAACCACAGTGATGAAGCATTGCATGCAGCAGTCCCTGGAGACCTGGCCATGCTCACTTCCTTCCTTTCATTTATCTCACTACTTATCACAGATAAGTTCCCTTTAATCTGCTCTTTTGAATCAAGTTGTACTCCCTTTACGCAGAAATACTTGGAAGGAAAAAAAGCAGGTCCATCATTTTGTGTTTGACTAGCTGGTTACGAGCCATGACTACAGCCATTAACACATACTACCTTCTCCTTACAAAGCAATTATAAATTCCACAGGACAGACTAATGTGAACACCACCTGCTGCTGATTACAATCATGTACACCCAAACTGATAACTCCAGAGGGGTCAATACATACAGACATGCATCCACGACCTTGGCTACTCCATAATCTGTTACATATCACAAAACTCTGAGAGGGAATGGACCTCAAGTGGCAGCTGCTGATGCTGACATTTTATGCACAATGAATTTTGACAAGTCCAAAAAGGTTACCCTGCACAGTTGTGAAGTGGTTTAAATGCCTAGCTGTTCCTTCTATAAACACCAAAATGGGAATACTTTTTTTTTTAGCAACAACATGGTACACACATATACAACTCACTAGGGGCAAAAAGTAGCAGTCACTGGGGATTCACGTGTTTAATGGCAAGAAGTGAACTTCTTACACCCATGTAAAGACCTATCTAACCTAACGGACTGAAATCCTGACAAATTCCATATCGGGACAGGGTGCAAATAGGTCACTGCAATTTCAATGTTTATTTACAATTCCTTGAATTTGGAAGCATTTTATTTCCTTCTGCTGATGATTTTAATGAACCTTCATACCTCTGGTGCCTAGCCTATGTCCCAACTGTTACCTGCACGTACCCTTACTGTCACAGCTGGTGTATTGTTAATTTTTCTACTACTGAGTCATTAGGTAGGTGGGAAGGCAAATTAGGTCAGGAAAACATGTCTCATCAACCTTACAGAATGTTGATGTTTGGAAATCAATGGGGTTAAGAGAAATCAAATCAATATGTCTCAGTTTCTTTGTTATTTTTCAATTTATCAATTATTCAACCGTGAGCTGATTTTATTTTCTACCACCCCGCACCCAAAAACATTTCTCAAATGGAGTAAAAGGTTTGATATGGATCTTATTTTTCTAGCACAAATAGCTGGAAGCAGAGCTATAGTGTGTTTCTTATGTTAATCAAGCCGGCTAAGCCACCGGAACAAAGGGGCTGCCTATGTCCCATCCATCTCAAGGTTTTTGCTGCATTGGGCCACATGACCCTTGGCTCTGTGGGCGATTAAACAGCACTACAATAGCAAACTGGTTCCATGCGCTGCTGTTTACAGAAATGGCAAAACCTAGGTCACTCCTACTATGAATAAACAAGCCTACAGAATTTGAATGAACAATAGTGAAAAGCCTGCTTTGTGTGTTGCACAGAGGTAATGTCGAGAGGTTACCTAACACCAGGCTTAAGAGCGACAATCGCATGTTGGGACAGATTTAGTTTCAAAATACTAGACTGCAGCAAGTGAAATATGCCCCCTACCACACAGCAAATTACCATAATAATAATAGACCTAGCTGTGGATAGGGAGATGGAGAGATATTATCACCCTGGCCTTCTGCTGACCATGGGTTTATCCTGACATATAATGACTGCCATTTGCTCACCCGAAATAACATGAATAATACATTGGGTAAGTGGGAGAAAAGTACATAAGGGATTAAATCCAGTCTACAATCAATACGGCAGCTAGCGCTGACAATTGCGTGATGCGCCACTGCAAAGGTCATGGGGACAGTTACGCGTTGTGCATAATGTGATGAACCAGTACCAGTATCTAACATTATCCGCAGATAATGACAGCCTTTAAGCCTTTATACACATGTGACTCCCTTAATGGCAATGGGTCATTAACACATAGTATGCGAAGTCTTATCTTGCCGGCAGGTCTAATACATCATAACAATGGCATATTCGCATGTCTGATATTAAAACTGATACAGGAATCCAAAGTAGAAGCAGCTCCATGCAACTGAGCTGCAGATAAAAGAATCCTGCACTTCCTAGCCGTAAAGGTCACCCCATTGAAGTGATGGTGATAAAGTAGTAATTTCCTTCTGAACAAGACAGCACAAGTTCACCTGCAGCTGCTCTTCATTAATACTTAAAGCTTCTATAAATCATCAGTTTCTTGCATAACCCCCTTGCTTTATTTAGACTTACAGGCAATATCACCTGCGGACATTATCTAGGCCACCATCTTGCCACATCAGCCTGCATGTCTGCCGGATGGTCAAATGTGGCTACACAAACCAGCCGCTGACCTATATTTGACCATCATTAACATCTATGCAGGCAGCCCCCACCCTGGACATTGACCAGTGTGGATATACACACATTAAGTAATATATATAATGTACAAAATATCTCCTTACCTTTCTCCTCTGTCTCTGGTTGGGGAGCCTCAGCCGGCGCTCTCTGCCTGCTCTTTCTGCGACTATTTTTGTAGTTAGGACTCAAGCTGCGTGTTCTGGAGTGGGCAACCTAGGAGAAAAAAAAAAGATCAGATAATATCCATTACATTCTGGCCACAACAGCCTGATAGCCCTGGTCACGCTACTAGTTGCCAGAGGTACCTATACCATCATGCTACAAGGTAAAGGTGGTTATCTTTACAGCTGGGGTTCAATGAGTTTTACATAATCAAGCTCCAGTGCTCACAATAGGGTCTCTTTAAGTGTGTCATGGCCATTATTATCAGCCATCTTGGTCAGCGATGCAGATCTGTCACACAATCAAGGGCGGTTGCACAAACATAAAAGTCCACACGAGGCATCCGCGAACAATGTGACTGGGTTGTAGTAAACATCCTAAAGCCTATGTTTGACAACCTTGTTGATGAATCAATAGTTTAACATCATATGTCTCACTGACAGGCCAGCAAATCGATAGCGCAGACTTAAATTTCATGCCTAGGGTAATCAGCAGTCGGATCTCATTTGAATTATCACCATACTAACTGGGAGCATGAGCAGCAGAGCATGGGTTGAATTGTGCATCAAGAATAACATGACCTATATTCAGTTCGTAAGCATAAATAAGTGATAGGGTGGGTCCCAGTGTTGGTGTTTAACTTCTCGATCGGGGATATAAAAAAGTGCCTCTTACAGTACAGAATATCTCCCAGGTCACTTGTACTTTGCATGACTCAGCCCATTATCCATCTTGTCTGGGTCTCCCGTCTTTTTCCGCCTAATATTAACCCTACACAAGGTAGAGAAAACTCTCCCAGCAACCAGGGATTTTACTTATCTGGTATCAAGATTACCTTCCTCAATTCAAATCACAGTTATCTCAACAATGTCAATCACACTTTTTTAGTCATCAGAAAACTTCCTCATAGTACACTAGATTTTATACAGCACTACTCTGAAAAAAAGAAAAAAAAAAAAAACCTGCATGTTAAGCTGAAGCATTAACAAAGGGCATTCATATTTCTCTCCCAGCAAGGCAGACAGACATGCCACTTCAGTTCCGACACACTGCCTCTGAAGGTTCAACATCTGACCTAGACTGCTAACATGGTGGGGGTAGGGAACAAAGACCACCATTCTGCCACCTCTTAAATCAACCTACCTCTCACTTAAATTAAATCCAAATCCAATTCAATTTGCTTCAGGTTCACTCCGATCCCCCACTACAGTAGTCCAACGTAATAAATCCTCAAGGTCAGTTCTCCATATGTATTTACAAGTCTTTTCTCTCCTTCTCCTCACTACAACACTGCCACCATTACCGTGGCCTACTTTCAGCTAGTCCCCGCTCCCTTTTCCACTACTTTCTTATCAGCTGATCTGGTAGTGAATAGCTGAATAACCACCGCAGATTACTTCCATTTGCACTGGGTTTACAAATGGGCCCATAAAAACATTAATGGTGAATAGCCCACATCCTGCTAGCATACAATCAATATTCTGACCTTGTGGCCTGTACTCTGAATGAGACTGGGTTGTGCCCGTGAGTAAGTAGACCCAGGAGGCACACACTCAATAACAATCCACCACACAATGGAAGCCTAGACCTTTGAAAGCAGACACATAACAAGCTCCAAGGAGCATTACCCACAATCAAGACTTAAGTGGCAGGCAAAGGGAAAAGTGGGTCACCTCATGACATCACCCTTAAGCCTTCAACCAATCAAAACAAGTGGGGTGTGAAAACAAAATTAAACCAGTCATACACAATCAGGGGCCATGGACCTTTGTGCCATTTATATTCTGGATAATCATTTTCCAAGCTGTCTGTTTCCCAAGGTGAAGGTCGCAACGATTGCTGGAATGACATTAATTACTCATACACCACCAACCAAATGGGAGCAATGTGTTGCAATGAATAATGTATTAACACACACTCAAATGTTCTCTATTAACAGAGTGACACATCAAAGCAGCACGCACACAAATCTATATTTTATCAGCCTTATCAGCAGTTTTCTGCAGCATTTCCAAAGAGGAATGCCAGGTCAAGTGATTATTCAATGGAAAGTGACAATTTAATCAGTTAAGCCCAAAGCAAACACTGAAGCTGTAGCTACACAGTAAGTCAGCCCATAGACTCAAGCTAATATAATGGCCTTCTTTTTCTCTGGTGCCACTTAAAATGTGGTTTGTGTGTATGAGCACCAAGGTGATCCTAATCCCCAACACGCCAGTGGCTTTTTCCCTACGCTCCACTCTAACTCATAACAAAGGTGTGATAAATAATACAGCAACCAGAGAAAAGGTCACCCTTTTTTTACCTGTCTCGCATATTAATTCCCTGCTACTATGGTACACATCCTGCAAGTCACCTGATACTGTTTGCTTTGGAGTTCTAACTCAAATACTGATAGGGTTGTATGCGATTAGCACGCTCCTATGGAAAGCTGACGTCAATGGAATTCCACATGCCTCAGCTGCAACACCTCGCTTTATGCTGATCAGCTTTGATGATCTGTATCATGGCAGTGTACCGACTAAGCCATCCGCTTATTTGTTGTTTGTTTTTTCTATAGTCTGTCAACTTCCTAAAATAGCGCAGCACAAATCTCATGTGATACAAGCACACACCTACTAGACAAACAGAACAGCCAGTCCTTTAAATTAGACATTGAGACTTTCCACAAATATTCCCTGACCACAAAATACGTGGGTGTATACAGTTGCAACAGTGTGTGATGTACCCGTGGCCAGCCTATTCATTCTGCTAGGCAATAATAAAAGCCATGTCCAGCTCTAGGCATCCATTAGCCTACCGCAACAGGCCATCTAGCCTGTGTGTTATATAATATATGAAGTCCCATCAAAAGCATTGATCCTAGCCCCCAGACTCTGATATTATCTATGCAAGCAAGCCCTTGTCCCCTACAAATTTATCACGCTCATTAATGGTGGCCTGAAAACAAGATCAATCAGATAAGTAGTGTCACCTAAGCCTTACTTATATATATACTGATTGCACACATACTTCCAGTGCATGCATGCTCTTGCCATTTACAAACCCCTTGCCATTCATAACAACTTTTTAGAAAGTTTTTTTCTCATTCTCTTTACCATCTGTTTTTTGTGTACTGATAAGATATCACTTCATATCAGTGGTTATTCTGCCAGTTGTAATACTGATGCCTCCAGTGTATTCTCTCCAAGCCTTATCCATGACCAAGTGCTATTTATAAACTTTCTCTTATTATTTTTTCTCTCTAGTGACTTGTTTTGTTACAACTAATGGGGCATCTCATCTGTTCACAGACAAGTCCCTTGAGGATGTTACATTTAACATTTTCGACTGCTCAGAGTTTTTCCGCTATTTCTAATCAACTGATTTTATCCTGCTTTACTTTTTTTTTTCTACATATAATCTCGTGTCATTAGCTTGCAAGTCTTTATTTCATGTTTTCACAGCCAGTTCAATACCAGGTTATTAATGCCTGGGTTCAATGCTGAAAGGGAAAATCAATATGTCAGGAAATCCTGAGACGCATAACAGCCAGCTTATTAAAATATGCAATAGAATTATAAACTCTATACGTATGTTTTTTATCGTGACAGTGAACACCTTCCTGAGATGAAATTATTTTAATTAATGTTCACAACACCATGTACCTGTCAAACTACTTTTTTTTTCTTTAAACAAGCCATAAAGACATGTAGCAAACATATTTTCTTTCCAACCAACTGAACAAAATGACCTTATTATGGCCTAATATTAAAACAGTTTCAGTAATTAATTTCATAGGGCAATGTTTCATCGAACCAAATAAAAATTCTGAGACTCATTATATTTCTGTAAACACAGAATAATAAAACAAAGTTAATATCACTAGAAATGGGCACAATACAGAACAGACAATTACATCCCAATTTTAACCGCAACTATGTAACTTTTTGGCATCACACTGCAATTTCCATCTGATAAAATATGAATGAACAAAATAATGTAGTGATGAAATTGTTAAGGGGAATCGTAAACAACCCCCTCACACCCCCAAATTTTTTTGATGTAATTCCTTCTTGAAAATGAAAGGAATCTGAGGATTTATTAAAAAAGTTTAAGTGTTTACTACCTTACAAACACATACATATCCCACAGGCTGTGACAATACCCCCCCCCCCCCCCCCAGAGCCACATATATGGCCCAAGGGATAAAAACCCATAAATCACACAGTACATCATGTAATTTATGTGATTGCTTAGCAAAAAAACAACCCTCACATGTTGAAGTATTACCAAAACAAAAAGGTAACATGACTCAGTAAGGTAATGGAAGCGGAATTTATATTTTGTATATTTTCTGGAATGTCATCTTCATTCACACAAAAAAATCTTGCTTTGAAAATATGCGTACATGGCTGAAAGATAAAATGATACCTGCTATGAAAATATCTTATTCAAATACTGACTCAAATGATACACAGAGATTGTTTATATATAATTGAGTGTGCAAACAGGAATGCTGTGAATTATGCTCACATAGCTTACACAAATACCATAGACAAAGTAAACTAAAACTAAAAAAATTTAAAACATCCTTGTTGATAGAAACAAAAAGTAGGCAACTGAAACCTTCACTTCCTTCTCTCTTACAAATCAAGTTACACCCATTAATATTAATGTCACTCCTGAAACAAGAAGTACAGGAATACCATTCTCAAAATCTTACTCGTAAAAAAGAAAAGCATAAGGAAAAGAAATCACATCCAACATCATAACAAAACACAGTTAGTGTCAAGCACTGCCATTTTATTATCTCATTTACATGAAGTACTTTGAAAGTAAAATCTTTATGAGAATTCAACCCAAGGCAACATGGCTATATCCCCATGGAACGCCATTCAAAATGCCATTAAGTAACCACACTCTGTTTCCTTCTGCCAACGAAGGAGTTTTCCCCTAATGGTATCAGCATGGATTCCATATAGCACCATCTATCTCCCAGGGTTCTTTGTCATAATTGTCATGGCTGTTCTAACATATTGCGCCCTTTCTGAACTACGATACTTATCAGATCAGAATTCAAGACAATCCAGCCAGACAGCAGTATAAATAACTCAAAAACTGTGAACAAAAGCAGGGGCGCGTGGTATCAGGTAACTGTAGCAAAAACCACAGTCAGTTCACAAATTCAGAACGAGGATGCATTTTCACAAGTGAATCAGACTAGATTTTTTTTTCAGCTGGGAGGTCATTTAAAATTCATTTTTACCTGTCAAGATGGCAGGTTCTCACCTCTCTTACAAGATAACACAAGGAGAAGTGGGTCAGGGTCAGGAACTGTATAATCAACGCAGCCAATGTGTGAATGGCCATGTGTCATGTATAATGAACCAGGTTAATTTGTAAAACAGAACCACCAGGCTGCTACCTCCCCATATTCTTCTCATGAAATTGTGACATTAAGAGCCCATACTAGAGGTCATAAACTCAGCAAATGGCAGGTTGGGGCCAGTGTTTTACTGATTATTATTTCAATTAGAGGTAACATGTAGTTTCTTAAGTTAATTTCTCTTGGGACGTGGAGCAAAACCACAGACCACGGTATATAAATGTTTATGCTATTTTAGCAAATATGTATTAATATAGACTCTTGTCATCATATACTTACAGTGTTCTGTTGCTGCTGTTGCTGTTGATGATGCTGTTGTTGTTGTTGTTGCTGCTGCTGTTGTTGCTGTTGATTTGAATCTTTTTTATCTTTACAAGCTCGACTTGCTCTCCTTGGTGCTACACCTTCTCCGCCATTTAATATTGATTCCACAACTGAAAAGAATTGATAATCCAACGTCAATTTTTGGTATGTTTAAAACATCAGAATCTCAAATTCCCAGTTCTTTAACATCTCTCCTATCTCGCAGCTTAACAAACTCCCATCCTACTTCTTCTGCTCCCATAATACAGACCACATGACCTCGCTGACTAGACATTGTGAATGACTCAAATTTCCGCCAGTTGTGGCCACGCTCTCAAACTGCAATGTAAATACCACTTCCTTAACATGACCCAAACAAACAAGAATGTTAACCCTTGTTATCTGAACTGGGCTAAATTTGTAAGCTAGGCCTGCACGATGGTGCAGTGCTGATATATATCATGATAACATAGGTGTGCCTGTTCAAAATGCATCCAGTTATCAAAATGTACGCGCGAATATGACATCATGGCAGCTAATCCGACCCGCATTATTCCTACTACTGCCATTGCCGTACATGACTCAGTAATTTTTGTGTTTTTATAGTATGAGCAGCAAATTTGATTACAGGCTAGTGCTAACCTGGCGGCAAGCCAGGATTTATGTTATTATCTGCACAAAGCATTTTGCCGAGACACCACCTAGCACTTCCTTTTTAATTTAAACAAACCACAAAAATTCTCTACAACAGATCTGTAATGGAAGAGAAACCTACCTTAGCTTGGTCACATCTAAATATTCACTACTTGGAAATTTTGGTTTGCATCTGTCATTTGGATCATGGATTTTTTATGAAGATAAATTTAGCCGATTACAGCATTGACAAGCAAGACAGAAAAATTGTTTTACTCCCGATATCTGCTTTAATAACACAATGGCAATAAACAAGCAAACAAATAACAAGCACAGCACCATTAGCTCAACAGAGCTTGGAGATCATTTATTTATTCCCTTTATAATTCTGAAAAGGGAGCAGGAAAAAAAAAACTTTTTTATAGATCTCTTTGATGTGTGACCCCGACCCCATGGTATTTATCTGGATAAACGCCAGCAGATGTGGACACTGTTTGTTCATGCTGGCTCAAGTTAGCTGTTGTTGTTTTTTCCCCCCTCTGTAGGGTAAAATAATGCCAGTCACCACTACCACCCAGGCATTATACACTTCACATCCCACCTGCCTCCAAACTTTCAGCAAGCACCTTTTTTTTTTTTCAAAGAATGGAATATTTTTCTTAAATGATCATTTTTTCATCAACTTGCATCCTTCATGTGTTTTTGTATTTAGCGACATGCCTGTATGTCTTTATAAATAATCTATACAACTAACTGCTATATGAATGAGTTGATACTATAAGCACCATAATATAATGATCAATTAATGAGATCTTACCACATATTATTCATATTTCAGAGCCAGATACTGAAGCATTCTAGCCTATATATATATATATTCCTGTACAGCTGCAGCTGTCTTTTTTGAGACATTATTCGAGATATTTGTCTCTACAGTGCAACTTGTGCCAGTGCCATGTACCTTATATGACTCAGAGTTACTAGTCTTTTTTTATTTTTATATATTCAATTTAGTATTGGCAAAACCTCCTTTAATGTGCAGATTTTAAAAATAAATTTTTTAAAATAATCATAATAAGACATTGGATGATATTATCATAAATATTCATATTATCATCGAGGAATTGCTGAAAATAAGGACAATGAATCCTTTTGTATTTCGGATTATAAATATTTCTGAGGTCACTACTTTTTCAGTTTCTTGTTCCATTGGGAATCATTTCATATTATTTTGTTCTTAAGCTTATGTTTTATATTTGTAAATAAATGAGCATTTCTTTTATCTCACTAGTATAAAATGCCATGTGGAATTAGAGAAAAAAGCAACAAAAGATAAAAATACACTAATTTCAACATGTCACATGAACCATAGATCAATTTTCTGCAATAAGCAAAATTATTCAGAGCTGGCATGACTCAATCCTGACACCCAAAAAATATTGCTGTTATTCAGGGATTAAGTAAAAAGTGTGATTGCAAGTGATACATATCACTCTAACACAATAGAATTAAATACTTGTTTCAGGAATACTATGGACTTCTTCCATTGGGACTTACCCCCATCCAACAATTTCATCTGAATCAATGTAGGATCTTCATTGTGCTCTTCTAGCACTGTGTCATCCAATACAGATAATTCCTGAAATTAGATATTAAGAAAAAATTAATCATGAGTAGAAAAACTTTGTTTTTTTGCAAAAGATAAATAATAAAGGCTATTTTTTTTCAGTGGAGGTTTTCTGTAAATTGCCTTTTTGATATACACAGACAACAATCACCTGCTTCTGATTATTCTGCAATTAACACTGCACTAATGAAATGGAAAATTTTCTTTCAAAGACTGTTGTAAACTTTGTCTGACTTCCAGAAATTTGCATTAATGAGAATGCTAATGCTCCTCCATTTCCACAAATCTGTTTAATTTGATGTGGTTTTTCTATGTGTGGTAAATAGATGGGAAATGTTTTTATGAAGAAAAATAAAATTCATTTCGTCAAACAAAATAATTTGAAAACTTTTTGTCAGTTTCATCTTGCATTTTTTTTTTGTCTGTCAGGGAGGGTATTTTTTATTAGTCATTTACAGAGCCACAGAGCAGTTTCTGTGATATTTAAAGGGCACAACAATGCAGATTATTATCAAGATACAGCAAACTGAATCACTGCTTAATGCAATTGTCAGTAAAAGATACACAGGGAACATGTGCTGTTATTGAAGAGCAGCATACCTACTACAACAGTTAACAAGTAAGAAAATAAAGGTAAGTGAACAGAAAATAAAAAGAATCATATACACAAAACTTTTGTAGTGAAGCCATCTCCACCATAGTGATTGCCACTTAGTTTTATAAACATCACTTTTTTTTAAATCAATTTAATTTTTCAAGGAGCAAGAGATATTCCAAGTTTAAAGTCTACGAGTATATATTTATTTTGTACAACTTGCATAATAAACTCTATCTGCAGTTCCTTTTCTGGTATTAATCATTCATACATAAGCCTGTTTTACCTTAAATGTTATATAAAACATGTTAAAGGTTAGCCCTAAATTTAGGTTGCTCATTAATTTAGCAACTTCCATTACGGCTAATGTTATTCTGCAAATGTTGTGACTGTGTGATATCAACTGGCGTCAAGAAGTCTACACTCAGACAATAGTGACATCATAGCGTCTCTTTAAATACTGCCGCACATTATAACCTGTTCTAATCAAGCCTAAATGATACACTATTCATTATCTGATGAGAATACAATAAACACTTACATTCATTCGAAACAAAAGAGCCAATATCACAGTATATAATTCAGATGTAACATATAGTAAATAATCTATATAGATCTATCTGTTTAGTTATTAATTTCCGGGAGGTAAGCCAAGTAACAAGATTGCATAAATACATGGTTAAAATGGTGTTTTGTATTTGGTATATGCCATGCATTTCATGTTTTTTATTTTATTTTATTCATTTTATTATTATTTTTTACACTTAATTGCCCTTTAAATACTTTCATCTTGAACAAAAAAGAAAGAAATGACTATTTTTACTGAATTTAGGGGCCATACTTATGAATATATGACAACAATAAAAGTTAGAGGTAAACTAACTACACACTGTGTTATGTTACTGTTGAACTTACATCAAATATTCAGCAAACAATATTTTAAAAATGTATTCATTTCATTATTTGCTAAAAAAAAAAAAAAAAAAAAAAAAAAAAAAAAAAAAAAAAAAAAATCCACTTTTCTCATGAATCTCAATTTGTTTTTTTTTTAATATATCCAAGTGAAATGTGTGATCCTGGCATGTCACTTAGTTACTAAGCCATTACAGGAAGAAACACATGCATTTTTTCTCATCTGTTAAGAAGAAAAATAATCTTTTCTTAAATCCTCCATCAAAAAAGTTCTCATCACTTGCTCCTGCTTTTTATTCTCTGTGCAACACGATCCACCTGGTGAAGTAATGAGTTGCCATGGCAACACGTCTGATCACTGACAGGTAAATTATTTCTTTAATGTTTTGTGCAAATACAGTTGACCTAGATCTCTCCAAGTCTGCTAAGCAACTGGCAGATAAATGGCAATTGCACAGTTTTCTTTTCCTTTAACTGTTTCTGTGCGTCACATCACTAGGAGGAAAGCTAGTGGCTAAGGATTTCACCACAGGCAGGTTAAGAAAGGGTTAAACTGTGGAATTTGCCCTGAAGACCTTCTCCATAATAGTTCATCAATTCCGATAATGTTATAAGATTTTCCTTTTATAATCTCTGCCCTTTAAGGAAGCAACGAAGTTGAAGACTACAAGAGATTACAAAATATCAAAACTTTAAAAGTCTAACCACAACTTATCAAGGCCAGGCATCCAGGTATTTGAGGTTTGTCTAGTAAACATTGCTCTTTAGGTAACTGAAGGCAACTTCCACCCTGGCCCAATCTGCTGCACTGTGGTTTGTAATGCATGATAATACCTGCATGCCTATGACAGGCCTCTGGCAGCCACTCCACTTTTAAGATGTACAAGCCATAAACACTGGAGGCAGTTTTGGCAAACATTTCCTGCTAAGCATAGGTAAACAGTCAAACCTGACCTTTACCTGGTGAATGCTGCAAGTGCTAGATTATCTATTACAGACTCCCCCTTATTGTCCCCTCCCCGTCCCCTCCCCCGTGTACTTTAATCCCTTCAATTAACTTTATTAAGCACATCTTCTTGAAATTACAAAAATCAAACCGACTATGCAGCACTTATAACAGCCTATCCCGTTCCACATAGGTCACATTTGACTATCTCCATTTTCCAGAAAAACAAAAACAAAAACAAAAAAAAAAAATCTGTTAGCATTTCCATAACTCAAAACAAAACCAAACGCCTCTCTTCATCTCCACTAAGAACCCATTTCAATATCCATAAAATATTGAAGGGTAATGTGAATGCTTAATCTACCAGTCAGTTCAGCCAGGACAAGTGCACCAGTTAACTTGGATCTAGAGACAAGACCTTCTTTCAGAAATTCATGAGTCATCTCTTTTTCTCCCTTTGTGTCACCATTCAAGTGCACTTGGGTTTACAGGCCATTTAAATTGAGCAAACCTACAACTCATATCAACTGTGGTTTACCAACAATAATTGTCTGACTGAGGATCAAACAACATATGCGAAATAAAAACAAATTTAGCCCAGGTGGTTGCGGTGGCCTGTTTTTGGGTGCAGTTAATCTCCTGATAATTTTTCACCTCTTTTCCTTTCAGTGTTGTTTTCCAGATTCAAGGTTAAAATAATTTGGAATTCTTAAGAGTTAAATACACTTTTTTATGTTTCTTTTTTTATGGAAATCACTTTTCTTCAATATAAATCAAAGAGGATCACAGTGTATGGTCATAGTTGCCATGGTAATTCTATCACCCTGCTGGGGGACATTCTGGTTTGAGATCCGCCAGAGTTCTACTTTGACCTCCAGTACATCCCTGCTGGAGATGGTTTATGTCAATGTTACTTCACCACACCTTCAACTTGCACTTTATCAGCAAAATACACAGCTTAAACGTTCATGTAATCAAGCACTCTTTTTGTAAAAAAAAAAAAAAAAAAAAAAATTCACGTGAAATGTCAAAGATACTTACCTACCTGCACTCTCAGCTTAGAACTCCGCTTACAACAGGCAATTTGTTTGAATTCATTCTCAGAAAGTAAACAAATTGTAAATGGGCAATTTTTTGGATGCAAAAGATAACAAACTATCATAAAATACAGACCATCCAGAGTTGTCAAAACACTTAACTGCCTACGCATTCATGCGCAGCTCTGCTTCCAATTTGTGCTATTGGCACCATCCCTGGCATTTGATCTGCCATTCATCAGACACCAACTTATGACTCCCTTTATAATGCCACATGTCACACACTACATCAATTTTCAGAACCTGTTTCAAAACAACCGCATGCCCTTCTACCATCAGGCAGGCACACTTGAAGAGAACACCGCAACATCAGCCAACCCAATTCCTTCTCATTTTTATTTTCATTTTTAAAGAGAGAGAACTGGAGAAAAGATAAGGTGCAGCCATGGCAGAAAGAACCAAGGTCTAGTTGCAGTTGCCTTTCAAGTATGAAAAAAAATTAGGAAAACATAAAAGTGAACAAACAAATGGTTCTGCGCTTTCTCTGGTTTCAACTTAAAGCAAAAACAAATGTCTGTGGTTCTAAGGTACTGGTTATAATCTACAGCCATGTACGGGCACAACTGAGTGTATTTATCCTAGAAACTGTATTTCCAACTAGTCTTTTTTTCAATCTATACAGTACTCTGGCTTACTGATTGTTATCTATATAATTATATAAATGTTTTAACTCAATAAATTTCTTTATGATATGCATATGAATCAAGTATGTCTTTTTAAGTGGGATGTGTGAGTTTTCAGTTTGGGGCAAATAGACCATGGACCAATCACTGGCGGTTTTAAGTTATTTGCATTGCTGACAACATCTGACAGTGATGTTCCAGTGGAATTGATTAGTCTGGATAAATTATATATTGTTATGAGGGCAATGATCTCTGAACAGACAAATTCTCCATCTGCCTTAAGGTTATGGGTCAACCTGCATCCTTCACTTCTCATCTTGGCATTTTTATAGCAACTGCAGTTGGATTTTTCACATATACAATCCAAATACAAGTGCTAAACAATCTTAAGTTTCACACCATAAACCTCACGGTTGAAAAATAATGAATACAAAAGGTTATCTCAGAGGAATATGGCATACGCAAATCACACCTCTTAACTAAAATAAAAAATTCAAATCCATTCCCAAATGAGATGTCTTTTTCTAGGGCGCTGCACCTTCAGTACTCCCTAATTATCAGGCAGATTTTATGTAGTTTACAGACATATTGAAAATTTCTGCATAACCAAACAATATTCTGCAGTAACCATGACCAGTAAACCCATATAATTTCCGTTTCCAGTCAAAATATTGCAATTTAATTTTTTTTATAGCTGCTTATTATCCAAATAATGCAAAAGCTGTTGTATTATTGAATGATTACTTTGCAGAGAGTAAAATTCAACTGTGTGCTTGCAAAGCAATTTATCACACTGAAAACCCATATGCCAGGTAGGTCTGCCTTCAAATTCATAGCAAAGTATTGGAACCTGTAAATATGTTAGGAAACACAAAATAAATTAGAATATCAAGTAATTGTGCAGATGCGCGGGGCTTAAATGAAAGTTGAAGCAGGGTGGGGCAATGTATAGCAGTTTGGCAAGCCTGTGTTGATAGCAGGCCAAAAAGAGAGGTTCTTTCCTCTCTGCAACCTCAACGCTGTTGCTCTTTAACAGACAGCACAATACCACTGCCCCGAGCTAAAACTCATTTCTGCATGCTGTCCTATTTGGAAATATTGTACAAGATACGTGCATGCCACTTTTGAGTAATCTACAAAGTACAAAATACTGAACTCAAGTGCACACTGACTGAGCTGGTCAGACATCTACATGCAGACATCAACGGTAACCATCTACCACAAACGCCTCACATTTGAGGCACAAATGTACTTTATTTAAATGTATAAATAAGTCTTATCTTACGGGAAAATCACATATTTCTGCCATTTAAGTCAATAAATGTGCAGAGTCAGACAAGGCAGATAACATCTGAAGAGGGAACTTCTCAAAACGTGAAAAGTGAACTTAAATCTGAGCAATGAAGGAATATCAGATCCTACTGAAAATAAATTGAACAGTCACGATATTAAACCACAACTGGCAGGCAGGAAACCATGTACAGTTGAGCTGTGAACACATTTCCTGTGAATACAAATGAACAGGAGATGAAGAATAAAGTGGTGCACAGATATGTTTTTCAACCTTTTATCAAGGATATGGTGAAAAATTCTGTAGGCTAGAAATCTCCATTTCAAGACAATGAGTTACAATATCAACACATTTGTTTTTTTTTTATTCAGCTTTACCTTTTTCTTTAATAACTCCTTGGAGAAAACATATCAACATTTAGAGACACACAGCTGACATAAAAGCAACATAAAACAAGTCCTTCTATTATTATTTCCAGGGAAGTAGTCTGAGAAAAATGCTCGGGGGAGGATGGAGGGGCAGCTGTTGGCCTATAATACAGATAGGTTATTTGTAGGTCTACCATCTGTACTACACATCTAGATGCAAAGAGAGGAGGGGGGGGGGGGGGGGGCCAAGTACCACTGAAAAACTACATGGAAAAGGGGGGGGAAAGAAGGACATTGTTATCATTCACAGCACAGCAGGTAGTACACTGGCTAAGGAAACTGCATACATACCCTTGTCTTCTCTATGTAATTCTTGATAACTGCAGTATACCACTGAGTAGTGCCCTCAGATCTGTAGACCTCAACTCTATACCCAATCAGCACAGATGGGGTGGTCAGGAGGATACTCTGCCCGTTCTGGTACTCTATCCACTCCTGGATGGCTTTCTGGACCTCCGGGTAATTTTTCACAGGGGAACTTATTGGCTCGTTCTCCTGCGGAAAGAATGTATTTAACGCGTAAATGCTTATGTCTTACCATGTGTTGTTTTCTACAAAGTTAAATGAAAGACATTTAATGATTCTAGGAAAATACTTCATTTGCCTGATTTTGAGTTTAAATGGCACAGTCAATTTGACTGTCACTGACTGGCTTTTTTTCTCATCAGCAAGGAGCAATTTTGATGCTAGTATTGTTGTATTTTCCTTGTGATGGTTTATAAATAATACTTAAGAAAACTGTTCCAAAACCATAATTATTGTTCCCATATCTTAAACTATTACAAGTGGACCGTAGTTTCTCATCCCTACTTTCCTTTCCTTATCTACCCCAAAAGGATGCCCTGTATAATCTATTTTGGCGGGACAAAATGATAATGTTGTCTGTAATGAATGGCTGGTCTTAAGGCAGCACAGACTGATCTCTTTAAAACTCAATAAATAATTCCACGGACAGATAACTTTGTTACTTTCACATTACATCTGCTATAGCTCTTAGGGCACCAAAGAATGGTAAAAAGCCAACATATAATTTATATAAAATGCCACCAGCAAGCATGGTTTTCCTGAATCACAGCCTTTGCACGTGCAGCTCTTTATCCTGTGCCCCCATGTTGTTTATACATCATGCCTATCAGTGGCCCAGCTTAATGTATTTACTACTTTTAGCAACTTTATCTTGGTGAGATTAAGGGCATCACAACTCAACCATGCTGAGTCGCAGTCACTTACAGATTCCAAACTCCATGAAATCAACAAACTTAGAAGTTAGCTGGGGTAGGGGAAAAAAAAAAAAAACAAAACAGGACAATGAAAATTGAAACATCAGTACAAAAAGGTAGTGGACGCTAGCATTCTGAAGCCTAGGGTGAAAGGTGGTCGGGTCAGCTTGTAAATGGTTCATTTGACTACATCAAATAGGCTCCTGGATTGTGGGCTAGATTCTAAGCCAGTTCTATTGAAAACTGTCTCAAATCAATAACAGGTGACTTATCATGAATAAACCCTTCAACTTCACTACAGTACTTTCACTTATGGCCTTCACAACATGTAGGGATGCTTCCGAAACCAATCCTATTATTCAGAATCTTGCATTTGGCATTAAAAAAAAAAAGCATGCACTAAAAAGCACAATTTCATTTCTATAAAAGCTAAAAAGGATACCTGGCCTGCCATTTTCTAAAATGCCATTAAAAGGTATGATTTTCTGAGTTTATAAACATTATGGGCTACCATTCGCATGGTAAATTTCATTGCTATTCAAAGGAGGAAGCTGACACATTTGTATGCGTAGCACTCCTATTGATCCCACTAGGGCTTTTGTTCCGAGCGCGGCTGATATAGCGTGATGTTGCTGTGGTACCATCTGCATTCCACTCACAGATTTGACATTTCACATTTCAAACATGCAAATAAAAGTCACCTTGAGTTAGCAACATGTTCCTTCAGAGGATGGCAATGTGGAAATTATACTGTCGTTAAACCTTTTCTTAATGTAATGATATGCAGAACGTTTGCTAACAGTGCATGACCTCTATGACCCCATGCTAGTCCTGTCTGCATAGATTGACCATCTTACCAAAATAAGTGGCGGTTTGATACTAATAATTTGATTAAAGATTATCAAAACAAACAACAGCAGTCAGGTTAAATTTGGTTTTATGTCCTTTTTGCTGTTACCCCTTTACAGTTTAACACATAAACCACTCTTGCACCTCCCAGCGACCTATTGTGTAGGAGTGCCCACGTTGGACAAAAAATTTTCCCCAGTACCAAGNTCAGAATGAATGCTCAATGATCGGCCAGTTGCCGGCACGTAAAATATTATAATTTTTTTACTCTCAAATGGGGCCGTACTGCTGGACGCAGAAAGGACGCCGTCCAGTGTAAAGGGGGCTTAAACCTTTTCTTTAATGTAATGATATGCAGAACATTTGCTAACAGTGCATGACCTCTATGACCCCATGCTAGTCCTGTCTGCATAGATGGACCATCTTACCAAAATAAGTGGCGGTTTGATACTAATAATTTGATTAAAGATTATCAAAACAAACAACCGCAGTCAGGTTAAATTTGGTTTTATGTCCTTTTTGCTGTTACCCCTTTACAGTTTAACACATAAACCGCTCTTGAACCTCCCAGCGACCTATTGTGTAGGAGTGCCCATGTTGGACCAAAAATTTTCCCCAATACCAAAAGAACAAATGCTCCATGCCTAACATAACATTATTCACTTTTAAAGAAATTGATTTTACAACCATGGCCTGGCACATTCCTTACCTACTCTCCCTTCATTGAAAGCCTCTCTTGTGGAAGAAGAATCCTGCCAACAGGTTCATCCCGCCAAATCTTGTGTACTTTACCATATTAGAGGCATGTGTGTATAACCTTTACTCTGCTGGCAAGCATAAATCAATTCTTCTTGACAAGCAAGCTTGGCCTCTGACCCCTGGTGGGCTTTAAATCTAGGTCACTGCATTTTTATAGAGCTACTTGTTGGCACAGCTGCTGGACCGAAAATATCTAACTAAGAGAGGCCAGACATTCACTGGGTCAGTCCAACTGGGCCATTTACATAGGGGTGTAGGGATGTAGGCAGAAGGGCCGATAGGTGGGAAATTAGAACCGTATTTTATGATGTGAGCACCAGTGTTTCCGCAAACCCATTTGTTTTAAATAAGTGAAAACATGCAATGTGCAGGTTTAACATTCAAGGGGGTAATTTGAGGCTGTCACATGCTGGCGATGAAAACAGATGTGTCCAGGCAATCTATTCCTGGAATTTGCTTTCTGCAAAGGTTAATGTGTAATAGATTGTAAGAGAACTGCAGCGCGTAGGTTTAACCATTGTAAAACCACCATTATGTTCCCAACTTGAAAATATATCATCACTTCCCCACTAACGAGACTTGTTAGTTCAATGACAGCAACTATTTGCCATTTAATCTATGCGTGTTCATCAAGGTTCTGTCGAGATTAATAACTTTCTGGGAATAATATATTATGGATGTTTTACTAATGAGTTTTGTGTTTGTCTTCCGCATTGATCTACAGTGAACACCGCGCAGTTTATGCAGGACAGTCTGGCGCCTTAGAACACTTAACAAATCAGTCCAGTGACCCATAATGTTATGCAACTGCTGGTCAACCATCTGCATGTATCACTCACATGATCAACAAAAGGAAACGTAGATTCCTCAATTTTCAATAACCCTCACAGAAGAACTATTGATCTGCGGCTAGATATTGATTACGGGTTGTGAAAGCAATTCATTTTGTGCTGACCTACTTTTGTGTAGATGTTACGACGGCTTAGAACGTAATTGATCAATATCATAGTAAGTTACAGCCCATTAACAAGACGATCATTTTATGGATAATCATATGTCACAACATCAATTTTTAAAAGACCAATTTCATTGATTGTTAGACTGACAAAATGCATCATCGCTTAATGTATGATAAATGAATAAAAGGACACCTATTTTCACATTCTATAATCTCAATAAGATAATTTAAACTAGATATATAATCTACTAAAATAAATCAGATGAACTGTGTAACATATTCTCATGTAATATAAATTTATCACCAAAATAAATGTGGAGACAAATATTAAATAATTTCAAAAAACAAAACATTATATAAAAATAACAATCTATGTAATAAAATAAACAAACAATAACAACAATAAACAAACAAGTTGTCATAAAATAGCATTTTGCCGGTCCAAAATCTGGAACATTCAGAACTGCTTGAAACCAATATTCCCTTTGGCAGATCTTCAACAAGAAGTATTTGATCTCTACACATAAAAATACCACGCTGCAACTTACCTTGTACTGCTTTATGTCAGCTTCCTCAGAAAACTGCAAGTGATGGTCTTCTAGGAACTCTAAAGGCTTGTATCTGCTGCTGGCAAGACCAAACTTATCAACCAGCGTAGTGAAGCTCTGCAAAGAATACACATCCTTGCTTTAATGTAAAAATCAATACACAGATGATGATAAATCTACATTCTACCATTACACATGACCACCTCTGCCATACCTTGTCAATTTAGATGAGGGACCGAATCATGCGCACACATGCTTTAAGTCAATGCTGATTACAAGACGTCATCACTGTACTTTCATAACCGCAGTTCAGATACTGGAGAAACAAAAATCAATATGGCGAAGGGGAATAAACTGTTTGGTTTATTGATTTAGACATCAACATACACAGGCTCCAAATGCAATAAGTACGCCATTCCTTGCAACAAGAGAGTTTATAAGTAGTACAATATCTGGCCTGTGTGAAAAGTGAAGAGATCATATATTAGTACAAGAGGGGGTATAAGCACTTAAAATAAAAGCATCTTTTTGTCTTCATTTTTTTTTAAATGGAGTAAGAGTGACTTAAAATGTATGGGTTTCTAAATTTTAATGGTAAAGAACCCCCCCCCCCCCCAAAAAAAAATAATAATAATAAATTTCAAAGTTTGATTAACAGAATGAAACTGTTGAGCTGTTAATACTTGTAAACAATCATGACCTACCTAACCTATCTTGAGAGAGAGAGAGAGAGAGAGAGAGAGAGAGAGAGAATAATATCTTTCTGACTTCTCCCACATTATTGTGCATACCTATACATAACACAGTTTATAAATCTACGATCTATGAAAACTCATGTAAAATTGTACAGGAGTCCTGGAATCCACGTAAAATGAAAATTTTTCACACAGAGGTCTCAGACTTGTTTTCTCTCCTTTTAAAAATATGGAAATATAACTTAACATATGCCACATAATTCCTCAAAGATGTCTTATGATCAATACAAAATGTGATATAATAAACATGAAGTTGACGCTAAAAGCATCTCAAAATTACTCAATTATGGAAGCCTCCCATATCGCACACATGCTTTTTCATGAATAGCAATCCAACCAGCAGTGATTTATTTGGAAATGATTAGAGCAGTTTATAGCCTCTGGTTCCAGAACCTTGAACAACCATTTTTTAGTAGCGATGACTCATACTAGCCTACGGGAGGCGTATCGAATTGTACTACATGTTTTGACGGTCCTTGAACAAAGTAGTCATTTTGAATGGCTGTTTTAATGGCTGTGTACACAGAAAGAGCCTACTATTTAAATATCTCCCTTAGGCTTGGCTCGCAAGTGGGGCACCTGCCTAAACAGAAAATATCTCTCTCCTTATGAACCCTATTGTATCAAACGTCCCATTTTTCTTTTATCACCTTCCTTATTGCTTTGTTTTTATTTTTCCAAAATTATAAAAAAGGATTAATTAAAATAAGACATCCAGTGGCTGTTTAGAAGGCCAACAATACCTGTGCACATCCACCGGCATATTCAAGGAGATAAAATGGCAACACTGAATCCTTTAACAATCTTCTTTATTATAACAACAATTTAGCTTTCATAAAATTAGCACTGAAATTTGTACACATGAAAGCCAGCCAACCAACCAACCACCAGGTAAGTGTAGAAAACTAAGGCCAAAATAGAACGAATCTGCTCAGGCAGTGATTTATTAGAAAAAAATTTGTCCTAATCACCTTAAGCCCCCATAATTACATTCTTGTTTATGTAAATGCAACCTTTAATAGACATTGGCTTCCTCAGTCTATTTGCATAACATTGGCAAATTTGTCATACATAAGGTGGGCCTGTATCTAAGTGAACTTGTTGATCAAATAATTTTCCATGGTAATATCTACGTGATTCACAACAATCATGTGGCTTTGGTTTTTCCTCAAAGGACTTCTCCCTAAATTTACTTCAAGGCTAACTTCAGGTGAAGGAAAGATTTACTAGTTGCCTTTGTTGGATAAACAACCTTTCAAAAGTAATATCATTCTAAAATGTCAAACAGCCTCTATGTTTTTATTCCTGCTTCTTTCTCCAATATTCATGTTCCTGCTTTCCCAAAATCCATGTTCCTACACTGTCTATTTCTGGTCTTCAACCCATTAAAAGCAATGAATTATTGAGGCTAAAGCTAAACATTGGAGAGGAACCACTTCTCAAATCAATATTTATTTTTAACAGGCTATGCTAGCTGAAGCTCCACTGTGGAAGCACTTGAAATAACAGGCCCCCAATCAGTGGCTGTGTGGACAACATCAATGCTGACATTACTGTCAACACACTAGTTCCATTATAGTCAGTTATTGTTTTGTTATGCAAGGTTTTATCCCTGGCTTTGTTATGTAAGTTTGTGCATTCCCGATGTCTTTCGTAACCCTTGTATATTGAGCAAAGGTACATCTTGGGTCAATTCTTTGATGGAGTTCAAGCGAACACATCAATCCGCCTTTTCGTGTTTTTGCATTGAATTTCAATGCCTTGTTTGCCATAGGCTACCTACATAGCATATCTTGCATAATGTCTCTTGACGTCTATTGTAAGGCTTCTTTTCAATCCAGGCAGGTATCAAATTTACTGAAGGAGGGGGGGGAGGGGGGGATGAAACTTGTTAAAAATACGGAGACCTTATAATCTCAACTCTAAAATGTAGACCTGTGGATTAATCTATTTGAGTATTATCAACCCTTCAACTTCCATGATTAATATCCCAGTTGTTGATCCGCAGGTGGCCAGACACGATTTCCCTTTCAACAGTCTCTCTTGCATCACACTTCTGTTTTTCTAGAGGACACCAGTTTGCTCTCGCACTATTTACAACACTACTGAGGCCTCCTTGCAGACAAGTGCCAGGATGACCTACACAACAATCTCTTGTTGCCTTCACTTACATAGCTACATAAGGATTCAAAATGTCAAATGTTGTTGTTTGACATCCGTGCAATTTTACCACCATTAGCGTTTACATTGAAAACAACAGGATTTTGATGCAAAAACAGTGCCTCTTTAAATAAGGCATGATACAAGCACCCTGTTAGCTAAGATTAATAGCAAATACATCAATGAGGAGAGCTTTAGCTATCTAGTCTTCTATCCGTAGGTTATAAGAGTGCAGAGGCCCTTCATGCTGACCGAACCCTGTGCAGTCAGCCACATGCTGTACAGATGGGGTTTCTCATCTATTTGTGCAGTGTTTACATAGTTCTAGAGTTGATTCAATAACCTGTATAAATACCGCATGGCTTGAAAAATACCAGGCAGTGCCTGACCCAGATTACCCATGACCTTCAAGCAGACATTACAAATGGAAACTTTCCTTTAAAGAAAGGGACTTCTCTTGCAGCACACTACTCAAATACTTTCATCCCACATCTGAAAAGAATGTTTCCTCTTTTTCAAAGAATGTTTGTAAGAGATGACTTTATCAATGGCTTGGATTCGCATGAAAATTTCATCTCATTCTAGAACATCTGTCACACAATTTATAGCTTGCGATGTTACTTTACAAATTGCCTGACCTCTATTGGTAAAACTTAAAGGAAATTTAAGCAAGTCAAAACAAAAAAACTGTAACCAAAACATCATCATCTAAACAGATAATCTTATCTGTTTGATAACCATCAATGTTGTGGCAATATACATTTTTCAGTAATGACATCATGAAACATATAACAAAGGAAAGAGCCTCGTGTAACTTATCATGGCCCAGCAAGTAGGGTTAGACCGTATCACCAAAACAACTACAGCAGCACGGGACCCCTGCCCCTGACCTCTCCAACTCCCTGCCATTCCAGAGTGACCCCACCTTTCAATCACATCAGATATGTGCCCTATGAAATTTGCACTTGCATTCAAAGTCTCTGCAGCTATTCATCACAAACACATCCAGTTTTCATGCCTTGGCGAGCCCGAGATGTATATTATGCTGCAAATAAAAGTAACGACCACGAGCTTGTGTCAACAGACTTTTCAAAATCCCTTACCAAAATATTTCCGCTCGACTGACGTGAAAGTAGTGGCCTCAATGTATTTGTTCAAACTCTGTCTTATTGGCATAAGAAAGACCATCATTGTTCACTGTCTTATTCAGTAATGGATTATTGATTCAAGCTGGAAAGGCCAGGCTTATGCTTTACTATATCAAATTGGATCACGACTGCGTTGACGCAATGGGACTGGGTTGCATTACAACGGTAATGTTCAAAAGAAACAACAACCTTCGCCTCAAATGGGTTGTTTCGAAAAAAATACTGAGCATTAACAGTCCCTTGTGAAATTGTGGGAGGCAGGGGCACGCATTGGTAAAAAAACTACCTAGATTAAATTTCAGCCATCGTGCTGAGTGCTTTTCTGAAATCTTGGAAAGTGGTGGCAGACATCAGCAATACAATTACCGGTCAAATCATCAGTATTCTTCTCAGCTCCCTAATAACCAAAGAATACTCGTGTACCTCACTCCCAAAGCAACTCCACTAGCATTTCACTACTACAATCAATGCTTTCCCAGATTAGCCTAATGTGATTGTTTTATACTTACTGCCTCGGAGTCCAATCCAAAACTGTGTAGATAGTGTCTGGCAGAGCCAGCCTATCTGATTAGAACTTTATCTTAGCCCACAGGAAGGGTTCCTTGCACTTCTGTGCACGATATATTGATCTGAACATGTTTACTTAAGCCCTGCCGCTACTGCAGTGATCGCAATACAAAGACGGTTAATATGCTCAGACTCTGGTAAAAATTTCATTACCTATGGTTGACCGCATCCCATCCTACTGGAGCAAGTACGACTATGCATGTTCCCTACAATTGTCATCCCCCAATATGCCTACAGCAACAGACTTTGAAACAGCCCCGCTTATAAACAGACTGAAAGATCAGGTGGGTTCAATGCACAACAACACATTACCCGATGATAAAAAAGCAACAAAAGATGGAACCCGCAGAGAGGTGGAAAAAAATCTTATTCAAAGTGAAGGTGTTTTGTTTAGACACCTGCAAGGTACAACAGTGAAAATGGGAATTGCTTCCACCTTTGAGGTAAAATTGTTTCTCATGCGTGCATAAGTCAAAACATATTGATCATAATAAAGTGAAAGAGGCAGACTGGCTGATGTTTTCTTTCTTTCTTTTAGTCAGTCTCTGATACAGATGTACGTGCGTGAAAGTGATAACTGGCTCTATGAACATGAGATCAAGGTCACTCACTTAAAAAAAAATATATCCCTCATCTCCAACTGCCAGCTATTCATTAGCAAACCATTACTAGGAACTAAAATCATGCAAAATTAAACACAGTTAATATCATTCTCCCGAACATTAGTAGCTGAATATAAACTTATTGATTTCTGCGTACAATCAATGCTGCCTTGCATTCCTTTTGGGTACAAATTAAAGTTATCGATCACTTGGCTTCACCCCGGGAACAACAGCACTGGAAACACAATAGCTCTAGAAATTACAAAGCTATGAAACTGGGGATAGGATAAATCAGTCAAACTAGAAGCAATTGAATTTGTTGGAGCAGTATGATAAGGCAGACATTTATAACTCAAGTTGCAGTAGCTGTAAAATTGTATCCTGTCTCTAGGGGTTGAGGGCTGATCAATATGACTTTTACTCTTTCTGAGCTATTCAAGGAATTTCTGAAAATCTAAAATACCAGAAGGTGATATGCAGTTGGAATATGCATAACAAGCCCAAAACATCTAACACATGAAATTCCACCTGAATAAATGAATACTAATGTGAAAATCTCACATTTCAGTGCTTTTTTTCCTGGCATGACATCTGTGAACTACAGCAAGCTTAAATCAGTTCATTCTATAATGACATCAGCCAATCTTTATTGGACACACAAAGCAAGAAGTACTGAAGCTTACCTTAGAAAAACAAAAGAGATAGTAGGAAACAAAACCATCTATTCAACATCAAAAGAATAATGATATTGTACAGGTTTACATTAATAATTGATCTTCAACTTCTTTCCCTAAAATAATTGGTAAAATATCATGTGACTTTGTATGTGTTCAAGCAACATTCAATATCAGAATATTCTACTTACCAATGCAGGCCAGTAAACTTTCCCTCCACGATTCTTCGTAGGATCTTGACGCAGAGCCCACACCAATGAAGACTCGACCAGAAAGACTTGAAAGATGTCGTGCACACGAATCCACTCTCGTCGCTCCCAGGGAATATCATCAAACTCAACCTGTACCTGCAAAACCACAAAAGAGTGTTCATTAAAAGCCTGCTACTTTAACAGTCTTCATTTCTCTTTGATATGGCTCATGCTCTCTCAGAGAATTGATACCGAGTGATTGATCAGTTACTTCAACTAAAACCCCAGATCAGAGACAGACAGATACCTGTTACTTTAACTAAACCCTAGTTCAGCCAGGAAGTTGTCTCATCTTCCAAGCACTAATGACACTAGTGATAAATGTCACATGGAGCTCGAACCCCTGGCAAATAGCTTGCTACGTCCATGGAAAGTCTGTGACAGAAATTAACGTATATGAAATGACCTCCTACAGAGTTATGATGACCCAGTGATAATAATGAACTAGCAAATAGGTAACCATGGCTTCCATCACACATATACAGAATTATCCAATTTGAAGGTTGAAAAGAAAATCTGTAGGCTAGATTGTCAGTGTCTAGACTGGTTTAAGTTAAATGTCAAGGTATATACCACATATTAAAGCCGCAAAAAAGAACAGACACAGCAATTCGTAAATTGAATTATTTACAACCATGACTAAGTTGTACATTCATCCTATTTGTGGTTTTTATTACGTCATCATCCAACTCAAATTCTTTTCACCATTGTCAAGGATGAATGATATCACTGCCAGACCCTTTGCTAAGGCCCAAGTAAATATTTATAACTATTCCATTCATGGATATTTGCGTAACTGTGCATAAAACATGTGCTTGGTGCCGGTTTTGAATGGAGGCAATCACTACCTTTCCATGTCCTTTTCATTTCTGTCAAAAGAAGCACTGTATGGCGTAACAATGGCTCTTTCAAAGCCACAGACCAAGGATTGAATGCAAAATCAATTAGGATTGATGGAAAGATGATTAGGTAACAGAATGATTTAACAGACTTCAATCAGCATTATCAAGCATGTTTGATGACGGTCAGGCAGCCATGATAGACCAGCACAGTGCACATTGTGGTAGGTGAGCTGACAATGCATGCGCCAGCCATGAGCTACTTTAATGGCTCTTATCTCAATCAGTACACATTTTTACCAGTACATCTTGACCAAACTTACAAACAAAAAATATATATATTATGGGATTGCAGTCTACAAAGCCATTCACAAATTCCTTAAATTGCAGAATAATGAGCAATGGACAGAAGACTTAGCACTAATACACAAATCAGTGTTTATGCACATGGCTTCCTTTGACATTTTACAAACCCAAATTGGTTAATGGAAGATATACTTTCCATCTACCTTCCAGATATGTCACAGACAGTATGTCAATACTACACAGATGGAACTTTTTTCTCTGAACTTGGGAACCAATTACATTTCTCAATACTATTACTACACTTAATACGGGTCCCTCCGTCTCACACTGAACAGTGGAGCTCCTACCCAACAGAATGTGCTAGCTTTTAACTGCATAAAGAAAGGATAAATATGACATTAAAGTCTAGACAGAAACTATGCTAATTTACCCTTTTTCTTAATCTGATGTCGGTGTTTTTAATTACCATTATTAAGCTTTTACGCCTGGACTCACTCTACCAAAGTAAATTTTAACCAAAATGTGTATTTTCAGTGGATGAAGAATACTTCAATAGCTCAACTTTCTTACTGTTTTTTTTTTTTTTAATCAAACTATTGATTTAATTCAGCTTTTTGGTTTGGCTAGAGTTGTTTTGGCTACTTGGCAACAAGATAATTCATTTTAAAGAGAGTCCAGCACAGAATATGTGAAGAGAGTGCAAATTCTTCAAGAAGCACACTGCAATTATATCAATGCTGAGTCAACATTTCCTTGAAATATGTTTGATTTTTTCAAAATGCTGCCAAGACATAATATTCAATGGCATATTGCTATTAATTATGGTTCACTGTTCAATTGTGGGGTCATAGCCTTATGTTTAACTGTATTAATACTAAATAAATAAATAAATATATAAATATGAAATGAAAGAAAACAAGTAAACTCAAATTAAACATTCCTTAAATGGACAAATACAAACACACTGACCTTGAAATAACAACACGTGATTTAAGCAAACTGAATGTAGCCAGTGTAGACAATCTTAATGATAAATATATGGTAGGGGCCAGATTATTTAGAACATGCAAAAGACATACAAAGACATAGTAAACATTCGCCAAATCAATAATGAAGTAGTTGATCCTAAGCTTTATTACTCCAAATCCTCTCAGTTTTCAACCTATTTCTATAGGCCTTTTTCTTCGCCTGGTTTACTAGTACACTTCTCATTTTGCCTAATTGGCACTTATTTAATCCAATTAGCATTCACTTACAACAGGTTTCACATGCAATATCTGGATTACACATAAACAAAGAGACTTTATCATAATATTAACTGTTCTTCATGTTTCATTATGAACCAATCAGACAGTCAATTATGTGGGCATTCCAGGACATCCTCATGTCACTCAGTCTATTAATCATATACAACTTTTTTAAAACTCTTTTATATTTAAAATATTTAATATTGACCTGACAGAATTAACAAAAATAATAATTTTAAAATAAACATAAGGACCACTGCAGTTAATTTATCATCTAACAATGTTACGTTCTTCAATAGTAAAAATATCTAATAAGAATAAGAACCTGATCTGAGCTTTTTATTGGTTGCTCATTGATTTCTATCCTATATTTCATTGCCATTATTTAGTAATGGCCACATCAAAGGGCTTCCAACTGTTTAAATTAAAACATAGCCAAAACTGAGTAGAGCAAATCAGGTCATTCAGGGACACAGCCAAGTATTATATCCACCCATAAGGTTGGCTTGGTATTGCTTACAAGGGCTCTGCAGTATGGCAACTAGGACTTTATTCATCCTTGCCTGCAAACAGCATACTAATGGAATCCTGTGTAGTGCCTCAGTAAAATTTTCCAGTTTTCAAGAAAATCTGACCACAAAGGGAACCAAAAATACTTTAGAGGAAAACCTGACCCTCCTCTAGCTTCCAATTCAATCCCTAGGGATATTATTATTATTTAACAACAAAATCAAGCACTTCTGTTTTCCTTATAGAAAAAAATAAGTTCTTCAAAGGAGGAAAAACTGCAATGAAAACAAGAGATAAAAAATTCAGGGGCAAAGAAAAATAGGGTAATATCCAAAGGTAACTGCTAACCAATTATTTTATTGTAGATTGAAGAAGATACCAATCAAATGAAGACATCCAGATTTTATTATATTAATTGATAAGAAGCCAGGACTTTATTATTCTTCTTTCTTTTTCCACATATATATATATCACATGTACAGAAATGCTGACTAATATATTCACAAACTTATTACCCACATAATCCACCTGCATTTATGTGCAGAAAAATATTGGTATAATAATGTGGAATATCAGTGATTGTGTACGAAATCGTTTCACGTGTAGAACATCGGTAATGCTCATAATCATGTGTGGTAGTCAGGCAGGCCTGCATAGCAAAGTCTGTGCGAAAAGGAAAATTCATGACCAAACTTGCAGTCTCTACTTACACCTATACTCTGGCTCAGATCAGTCTCCCCATCCTTATTGGGTCCAGGTAGTTATTTACCTGTACCCTCACTGATCCCACCATATAGATAACCAACATACTGATAACTTCCTACACAGAGCATCAGTCACAGTTCAAAATATATCTTATCTGCTCACGAAAAAAAGTTCAATTAAGGCCTTATCAAGGTTATGAAATATATGTGGCCTCTTAGATTGAGTATTTATTGAGGTGGTCTCCTCAGCTGAGTAAAAAAAAACTATATTATATATATATTCATAATTGATCCCTCATAATTCAATATTTCTTCTGGAACCCACTTTCTTGACAGCACCTAGTTTCAGGTATATGCAACGTGAACAAACCTCCCACAAAATACTGTTGGTATTTCAAAACTGAACCCCAGGCAATCTTTGTAATAGAATGGTTGGGTGTTAATTTACAAGAAACTGATAGACCTCCTGCTGTAACAAGCACAATGAAATTGTGGGTGTCACCCCCATAATTTCATTTTTCTTTTAACTCCGAATCCATCAATCTTAATATAAAAGTGATATCAGGATGACTCTTAATACAGCAGATCTACAAAGTCAATTTGATAACACAGAGATACCTTTGACAAACTCAAATCCCAGGCACAATTTACACTTATCACAGACTTCTGTTTACACTCCACATTCAATGTGGATCCAAGCCGACACTCAAGTGTGGAAAAATTAACACCAATGGAAATGATTCAAGATAGCCCAAAGTTCTGTGACTTATTAATACTAGCAAGTTAGTTCTGTGAGGTTTGAAGGGGTCAAAAATAGTGGCAGACCAGTGAGTTAAGTACCGGCAGCAGCAAATTAAAGCTGACAGAATTTGTCTACAGATATTTTTTTTTTTGTCATTCTCTTCTTTAAGTTCTATCCAAAACAGTCTACTATATCACAGTACAAATTCACCATGTTTTGGGTGTCACTTTTGTATTGCCTTCTTAAAATATTCTCAGTGCATGCAGTTTCACCCTTTATTGCTAAAAAGTTAAACACACCTCACACATATTCTCAAATTTTTCTAGTGACACACAGTGCCAAAAGGCCTTATTTTCAGATGATTTCCATTTTCTCAGATGATTTCCATTCACTATATCCATAAGTTCCTTTAATGCCCCACTGGTGAATCGAATAGGTATTAATGGCTATCTGACATTACAAATGATAGCAACATTTACGAACCTTTGTTCATAGTCAACTCACATAAAAAAATTTCCCCTGTACACAAAGTAAGCCTGAACACAGTCCTGCTAATGCAGTTTCTCCTATTTCACCTACAAGTGCCTGTTTCAAATGTCTTTGTGTCTGGAGGTCAACTGTTATCATGATCACATACTGCAGCCTGGAGCTCTCCTGCAGACTTTGCACACATCCAGCAGGCACATGAACAGACAGACACATGGGCCAGACTTGGGACCCAGTCCATATAACCAGAATATTGGAAATA